TAATTGTCTTTTGTTATTTTGGGTCAAGACTCACCATTTGGTGTTATTATGGGATGGTCTAATCCACGGTTAGTATCAAAGTTGAGAGTTCTGTCACCTTCACATTCCTAGGGATGTATGTGTTTGTATCAGTAGGTAAGTCCTTTGCAGCCTGGGACAGAGGCACCATGGTGGTACAACAGAGGTGAAGCATATGCTGTCACATATGCTGTGTCTTTGTTGAGGTTTAAGGTAGAGCTTCAGTCCCATGGACACTTAGCTTGCTTTAGTTGAGAGGCTGAATTCACGGAGAAGATTTTTTAAATAAACTAAGATAATGAAATAATCTGAGCCTAGTTTTTCTGATCATAAGTGTATGTATTTCTTGGGCAATTTAATGTCTTTCTAGGGAGTGCTGGAGGATAGTATTTCTAGAGCTGGTTTAGAAAGTGCCAGGTAAGTCTAGATATTACATGGAGGGACAATCTGTCTTTTGTTATCTTACCATTCTTTGAGCTTCAAAGGAAAAAGGGCAGAGATATCTCCATGAATAGCTGCTATAGAAACTAAAAAGACCTATCTGCTGTGGCTGACAGGAGACTTGGCACATGTTACTACTTCCCAAAAATAAAATTATTTTGATCACTTTAGTGAGTAGTCTGCTGGTCACATGTTTTAGCCATGCTTCAGCAGCCACCTGAGTGTTAAATGTATTTCTCACTCAGAAAAGTGAACTGGTCCTTATTCTGGATCGCAGTCAGAATTGGGACAGGTAGTTTGAGACCAGTGGAGAACATTATACGCACCAGTTCTCAGCTGACTCTAGTAAGGGAACATTCTTAGCTTTCCTTTTTGGTGTCCCCCTCTCTACCACACCTAAAGCATTGTCTGCCAGATCATGGTTGCTCTCTCTCTGTTATTCTGCGTGCATCCCTTTCTTGCTGTTTCGTTTACATTACTTCCAGCATCAGGAAGTGTTTTTTTTCCTGAGTGCAAAGTACTCGTTAGATAATCACCTAGACACAGATCTGCTCTAAAAGATTACTGGAGCCGTGTAAGTGAGTTAAAAGGTACTCAGTTTTTCACATCAGCTCTTGTACTTGCCTACTAATCTTTTTATTTGGCTGGGTTTTCTGTCCTGTAGGTGCTAGACCAGGAAGATCTGGGTTTACTCATGCCTGAACCTCTTGCTACTGGTGTGCTCAGAGGACGTGTTTGAACTATGATGTTTTCTATCAGATTGCTGTATCACTATGGATGTAATGTTTCAATGAGGATAATTATCTATTTATTCTCTTGTTAATGACATCATAGGCTAATCTGGTATTGATCATTTTAAGAGATGACGCAATTACCATTCTGTACAGGAGTGTGTTCTGTTTAGGATCTGAGAGCACCAACACTGTCCTTTCTACAGCCGTGGCAGAGCACAGCAGGGACGTTTTCACTGTAGGTTGCTATCTTTGGTTCATCTCTTTCTCATATGACATTCTTCATTGTACAACACAGGAAGAGCGTGTCAAATTGGTGGACATGTAGCAGTGTGGACAGTATTGTAATAGACCTTTAAAAGGCCTGTTAGGAAAGCATCCTGCACAAGGAGATTACAGGGACAATCATGGTGTTCTGAAGTCCTAGTCTCTCCTGATTTACTGGAGTTTTTTCTCCTTCCTTTCTGAGTGGGGATTAGAAGTGAAGTCAGGAGATCATCACACTCTTCAATAGGAATTTAAAAAGCCCCATTGATACATTCAGCTGCATTTTACAACTTACTTTGTTTGGATTCAGGGGAAAGACCATGGTTTTATTCTTGCTAGCAGTATATTGTTTGGTGTTAAGGAGTTTGCTCCTTTTATTTTTTTCGGTGGTGCAGATCCTTGTTTCATCCCCTCTGAGGTGGAATCCATTCTCCTTTCCAAAGTGAAGAACTTGGACACATATATGCTGAAAAGGGAACAAATTAACCTGCTGTGTAACCTCAGTAGTAAATTTGATGTGCTAGGTTTATTTTAAAATGCTAAAAATAAAATGAACCCAAGTGAAAACATCAGTCCCAAATCTAGCTGAAAGCAATCTCTGATCTAATATATGTGTAATGAAGAGTTAGCACTCCTGGAACAGAAGATATGCTCAGAGCACTGCTGCAGCACGGACATCTGTCACTCTGAAGATGAGAGACTTGTCCTTTGGCTCCTGTCAGCTAATACAGTTCTGTTGTCAGAAATGGCTGAGGATCAGAGTTTGTCAGGTGTAATGTAGGCTGTCTTCCAGTTTTTGCCAGAAGCCAGACACTGCAGAGAAATGCAGAGAGTATTTTAGGAACAGTGCCCAAATCTTCTTAAATTAAATGTGCTGTTATCTTGTTCTTTCCCATCTTCTTACTTTTTGATTTTCTGTGTATTTCTGAAGTCAGTTTAATACTTGTGAAAGGTGCCAGGATCTCTGCTGTAAGACCCACTCAGCATATACCAAGACAGGCAGCAGCATTGAGTGCCACAAGACAGAGTGAGGCTCATGCGTTTGAGTTACTTTACATGTAGGCTGTATTTGCATCAACACAACTGTTAAAAATTATTGACATCATCCATTCCACAGTTACCAATAACAACTGAGCTGTATTATCCCAGTGTAATTGCTGCAGCCTGGATACAGCACCGTGCCTCCTAGCCAGAGCCCGGAAACGTGTTCAGGGGGCCTGTGCTGTACTCCACATTGCTCCAGCCACAGCGCTGTTGGTCCTCAGCTATCTTGTTCCAGGATGCCCAACAAGAGCTACAGTCCTACCTTTAGACTGAAAAGTAGCCCAAGTCCTTTGCCTCTTCTCCTCTTGCCAGTAATTGTATCTCCATTTTTATTCCCTCCTGTTCGCTAAAACCTCAGCTCTTCTTCCAAGGGCTCTTTCACAAACTGATCCTTTTTCCACAGGCATCTCTCATCTATGCTGCCGTTTTTGTATGGGTCTCAGTCCCTGCCTTTATACTCAACCTTTTATTTCAAGCTGCAGTTTTATCTTCACATCTCAAGTTTTCAGCTTTTACTCTTTCTTTCTGTTATTTAATGCACAAATGCATGTCCAGATGTAATTTATAATACCACCTGATATCAGAAGGAAGATACATAGTACAAATTACTGCCCTACACAAAACATGTTACAGCAAGGTCTCTCAACAGTGGAATAAACAAGAAGAGGCAATTTGATCTGTTTCTGTTTGTGTTCACCACCAAAGCTGGTGTTTTTAAAGAAGAAAGTTTTGTTGGGACCTCTTAACTGTGTGAAGCAAAAGGGTTATTCCTGGTATTGCACTGTCACCAGCAAGTTGTTTTATTCACATTCATTGGAGTCTTCAGAAGGTGCAGAGCCATGGGAAACAGATCAGTGAGCACTGTGATGAGAGGGGGTTATTGCATGTATGTTGTGTGAGGGTTTGTCCATTCTTACCCTATGTTGTTGTTGATCCTTGGTTTTTTTGTCCTTTTTTCCTTGTGTTGAAGTGAGTAGGTGAGTAGTTTCTTAGCAGGAAAAGAGGAAGGAAGAAAAAAATGTGCCATTAGGACATTTTGTTCCGCTCTGTGGTTTAAAATTGTTGTCTGGGAAACAAAATGCCCTACAGAAGGATGAAGGATGTCTTGCCTCTTTCTCCCCTTGCTTTCTCCTTAAGTTATGTTAAATGCAGTGTCTGCTTCCCTTCAACCTTGGCTTTAAGAGCTTTGTGAGGTTACATACCAATGTGTAACTCAGTGCCAACAGGTGATAACTAGACCCTGCATTGGTTTTATTGTAAATATTGAGACCTCTTAAAACTCTGCACTTCAGGCTTTAAACACAGAAGATGTGCTGTGCCTGTTTAGACATTTGAACCTCAGGGAAGAAAAGGAAGTGAAGAGCTTGGTCAGGGAGGGTGGGTGAGTCCTGACACCTGTACATAGTCTTCAAAGCTACATGCTGTGCTGAGACTGGAAGCCTTTGCAGTGCCTGTCTGTTCCATTCAGTACCGGCCAGCTGTAATCCCTGGCAAGCTACTGATGTGGTTCTTGGCTGGGCCAGTTCTTTACCCCTTTCTATGTGAAATGAAAGTAATTGGTTTAGTGATTGCTCTGCAGAACTGGGAAGCCCGACAGAATTAGGACAGCACTGAAGTAGGAGATATATAAAAAGCTGCTTATAAAGGTGCTTCCCTCCAACGATGAGAAGGAAGCATTCCTGTAAAAGATGAGAATGAGGGAGAAGGCTCATTCCTTCTTCACCTCCGAAGGCCTTGTTATCCCATTACCTGTTGTTATATGTGGCCCTTCCCTGTCTACACTAATCCTTTGCCTTCTCCCTGCCCACTGCCCAGGTGTCAGTACATGGGCAGCCCCAGGCATGGCGTGTGGCTATGAAGAATTTATGTGCACCTTTTGGTTTAGATTGTGTGGCTCAGGATGTGTGAATACTGATGCTGAGAGGGCCTTTTGTTGCTTTCTCTATCAACAAGGAAGAGAGAGGGAGCACTTCAGACTGGACTCAACTTGTATTGCTTATATTTTTAAATTGAACTTGAATGCAAAGCTGCGGAGTCATCTGGAAGACTCTCCTAGATTTATGTAGTAGTTAGTATTCCTGGGTCTCTGTCTCAATCTCATCTTTTTCTTTGCCTGCTCAGGTGTTCCTTCCCCCATACTATATTCTATAGCACTTTGTCCTGTCTAATTTGCCATCTGCTTTTCCACAGACCCCTGTCTGCCAGCATCAACCCTTACTGTGCATGCATATGAATCTCTGCAGGCAGGGAACCCAGGGATTCTGGCTGTGTCGGCTCCATCTGATGAATGAACCATTCTTACAGACATCTGGTGCTATCCTGGGCAAACTTTCTTCTCTCTGTGCCTTTTTTTTCCCCCTTTCTCTCCCCCACCCCCATCCACCGCCTCCTTGCTGGATCTGCAGCGTGACTGGAAACAGGCTGAATTAATCAGCAGACTGGTGCTTCACTCTGCTGCTTCTGTCTCATTCTCTGCAGCGCTGGGCTCTGCACAGTCTTGCTCTCTCTCCCTCTTTGCTCTCGCATTTTTGGAGGGCAGCAGCAGTGCAAGCTGCTGGGGAAGTGGCGCAGGAATTTAGCCCAGATGCTCTTCAAGCAGGCTGATCTCTGGATCCCCCACCAAGGCAAATGCCGCAAAGTAAGTTTCTCTCCCTTAACATTTAAATTCAAAATGGCTTTCCCTATCTCCCTCCCCAACCTGCATCCTGCCTGATGTGATGGTTCGTGAAGAGCTTTTAGATTTTGGGGAAAGAGGTTACGGCAGGACATGAAGCAGTGAATGATGATTTTAGCTAGGGAATAGCTTGGTGTTGGAGGTGATAGGGAAAAACCCTCTGTTTTAAACTGCAGATTTAACCCTAAAACCAACAGGAGGGGCCAAACATGATTTTAGCTGCTGACTTCTGCTTTGCTGCCTGTCTGGCTCATGACTTAAATTTGTCCGTTTCTTCTATGAGCTTTGATCTGTAGCTGTTGAAGCTCCTTAACCCTTTGAAATATGGCTCGCAGTGCACTGCTAGGCTGTATTAGTTGTTACTAGGCTGTTTTAGTCCCCAAAGTCTTCAGGTAAAGAAGTGAGGATGGGAAGGAAGCTCACAGGGGAATGAAAGATGTGCTGAAGTTCTGTGGATTTCTGAGCATTGCTGGCCTCTGGGAGGGGATTAGCATCCTCTGGAGTAAGCTCTGCATTGGCATAAAGCTGTATGCTGTGTTTTGAAGCCAGGATAAATACAGACCCCCAACTGCTCTCTGAACTTGGAGAAATAATGTAACTGGATAAATTACAGTAATTAAAGCTTGATAATTGTGTAGTACAGGTGAGCTTCAAAGCATTGCATAAACACTCCCTAATCCTGCCAGCAGCCTGGTGGGGCAGGTAACTATGGTTGGGGATTTGCTGCTGCAAACAGGACCAAAGAGACACACCGAGGAATGTACAATTCAAAATTGGACTGTTACCTGGGGAGCAGTCGCTTCTTTCACTGCTTTTAAGCTGCTACTAGCTGAGAAGCGAAGTGCTGGGCTTTGCATTACCCATGTAGAAAGGTTGATCATGCCTGTTGGCATCTTATGCTGTGCTTCATGGAGAGCATAGAATGTGAATGTCATTGTCTGGATTAAAATGGATTCTGTTCAAAATGCAGTGGTGATTCAGACAGCTGATTAGCGTTGGTTTGGCCAGATCTCTGAGAGATCTGTGCTCTTGCAGCTGTGTCTCTTTGCAGTGTAAGTCTGCAGCCCCTGCTAGCGATGAGCTGTGGGGAGCCTCAAAGCCAGCATCCACACTGGAGCCCCACAGACACCCAGTTACCAAACTGTGGGGGCTCTTTTGTCCAGGGGCAGGGGGAGGTCTGGGCTGCCTTTCATACTGTTGCTGCAGATGGAGGAAGGAGGCAGTTGTTGACTATTGCTCTGTCCATTAATTTGGGCACTGCTGTGCTGAAGACTTTGCTTGTCTCATTTGATTTGAGACCACCAACAGCTAAGCTGTGGCTCCAAAGCTCATGTCAGGTGGTATTTAAACCAAGTTTAATAGCTGTGTTTGTTGTGCTTTCTGGTACCTGTTCTGGCACGTTCAGTTTTAAAGGCCGTGGTCCCCACAAAGCCATGATCTGCTTGATGGAACTGCCTGAATCATGAAGGTATCAACATGTATTTCTTTTTTCTGTGCTTTCCAGTAGTGTTCAGATGGGTTGGTGAATATTATAATCTTCACAATGACTACAGTTGGTGGGGAGTTGATAGTCCCATTATAGAGATGGCACAGAGGCGCAGAGAAGCATTCAGTTTTCACACTGTCATGCAGAAATCTGTGGCAGAAGAAAGAACAGAATCCAGCTGAGCTGACAGCTAGTCCAGAGTCTTAATCAAAAGATTATCCGGTGGAGTAGGAATGTGTCAGGGTGGAGGCTCCCTGTAGCCTGGGGCACTAGAGAAGCACTCTTGCTAGTAGCAGGAAGGGATCAGACCTGTTTTGAAAAGTAACCAGGTGAGCACTAAGAAAGACAAAAAGCGTAATAAGGACTAAGGATGTCGGTAGTAAAGGGTAACAGCCCAGAGTGGCCTGTGCATTGGCTTTGCTGGCTACGCCTGTATCGTTCCATAGCATGGATATGCCATTTCAGGCAGTCTGAGCACTAACTTCAGCAGCCGCAGTTGGGCAGAGCTGTAGCATACCGATCTATGATTTGCTTTAGAACAAGAATAAATCCCTCTCTAGCATTAGTCTGCTGTAAGAAATGTTGCCCCAAAAATTGTGTGCTTTCGCATGTCTGCTGTCCTCTCTGATGAGATGCAAAAAACCCCTCTATGTGTCACATTGTGCCTTATCCTAAGCAAGAATCTGACTTACAGTGCTAAATGCAAATGTATTTGGTGAAGTTACTCTTTCTCATGTGTTTTTGAAACTGTGAATAATGCTTACATTTCAGGAGGTGTAATCTCTGAAGTAGATTAATAGCCTGCACAATGTCATTGTTAAACTCAAAACTGCCTTATTTTTCTGCTAAGGAATGCAAAATAGTTCTCAGAAAAAGGAATAATGTTCTGCTGCCCCGTTTCCCACCTCCAGCTGTTTAAATCTGAAAAGCAATTGAGTAGAAGTGTTAAAAAAGGGGCCTAGGGTGTGCAGCCTGGAAAGAGGGAAACAATCTGACAGCTGCCTTGTAGGGGTTTTCCATACCACTCTGCATCAGAGGGGTGGATCTGCAGTCTATGAAAATTGAAGCTTCTGTCAGATCTTCTGTTTTCTATTTCTTTATTTGTTTAAACAACCATTGTAAAGGCAGTTACATTCAAGTGTACAACAGTCTTGGTGAGAAGCCCTTATTCCGCAGGAGACTGAATCCATAGAGGGTGGAGGATGATTCAACCCACTTTGCTTATAAAGCAAAGAATATATTTGTGCTCCAGTATTATTTTAAAAAATGTTTGGCACATGTGATATGCCACATATTATATCAACATTTACTGGTACAACAAATAAATATGTTACTATGGATGTGTAATGGCTGTATGAAAATACAAGAGGACTTAATTATACTCATATTTTGTGTCCATTTCTCACCTGTATACATTCTGACCTCTGCTTGTTCCTTTTGAAGGAAGGAGCAAGACCTCTGTCTTTCATTGGATGAGAGTGTGAGAAAAGCTGAGAAACTTTGAAGATATTCTTGAATGGTTCTCTGTGTAAAAGAACAGGGTGGGAATTTTAGGAGGAGAGATCGGGAACCGGTGGTGATTTTGTGCGAGGATGAAGGTGGGCTGTGGGAGGCAGACGTGAGTAGGTGGTGATGCTCAGGAACAACTTCACATTGTGGGAGGAAAAATCTGAAAATAACCACTCTTTTTCTACCTGTCAGTCTGAAAATGCTCCTGCAACCCATGAGGAAGGGAAAGGAAACCTTTTTGCTGTGAGCCAGGCAAGGCTAAAGATTTAAACAAGCTCCTGGATCATTGGGTATTTGCCAACTAATTTCCCCCTGTTGAACTATGTAGGGCCAACTGAGAGGAGAAGGCAAAAGAAAAGTTGACAGATTCTGTGGCTCCCTGTCTCCTAGCTTTGAACTGTTTCTTTCCCCTTCCTGAAGAGCCAAACCAGCTCCTAAACCTGTGCGTTTGCAAGATCTTGGTCAGGTTCCCTTTCCCTAACATTTGCAGGCAAGCTAAGCAGTAATCGAACATATAGGATATTTACTGAAAGTGGAGGAATTCACGCATCTTTTCATCTTCCTGTCCAGTCCACACCTCAGCACATTCATTCCCTCTAGAAAATAAAATCACATGCACAAAACCAATTTCCTGCACTGTGTGTTTTTCCTTATCAGCCATCCTGCAGATTACAACTCTTGAGAGCTGCGCTATCATCCGCAGGGCAGAGGGTTGCAATCATCCCGTGTTTACCTGGCTTCAGTCATGCCTCTCAGACTGAGGCTGTGATAGCCAGGGCAGGGGGGCAGCTCCAGAGGTGCCCTAAGTGCACTTAGAGGCTCATGTGCTCTCCAGCCTCTTGGGGCAAAGGAGGAAGCACCTGCTTATTTTCTCTTCAGGATTTTTCCCTTTAGGCATGGCAAAAGGAAAGTATAGCCTTTTAAAATGCCTCCTGATACCCATCAGGGGTTTGCTCTCACTGTAACCTGGTATTTACTGTCTGTTTTTTCTTTTTTTTGTTCTTCGGAGGAAACCCTGTGCTAAGGCAGCTGGGTGGAAGGTGTCTCACTGTTTTTGTTTTGACCTGAAAATTAGCGGATTATTCTTTGAATGCATCTTTCCAAAGCAAAGATGTGAATGTTGAGGCTGTTATTACTGAACTGATACCTCCTGTGAATGGCTTCTTCACCCTGGGGTGCTCAACCTCCTCTTTTGTGGCAGGAAGAGGACTTGCAGCTGATGAAAGGCTGGAAAGATCCCTCTGGGACAGCTTAAGAGCCCTAGGTTTGCCAGATACAAAGGTTTACTTTAGGGCATTTGAAAAATGCCTCATTAGCAGTTGATGACTTAGCAGGGCAGCTCTTGTTGCGAAAACCTAGAGCTGCCCCTTGCCAGGAGTTCAGGGTGGCTCTTCTGGCCTGTCCCTTCTGTTCCTTGGTTCCAAGTGGTTTCCCTGGCTGCTCACCGGCGATAGGTTATCGGTCACTTCAGGCAGCCTCTCACTCACATTATTCAGCCTTTGTTTACTGGGCTAGCTCTGCCTGCTTTGCCGAATACTCCCAAGTGTCAGGACACATGTTTAACAATCCCTGCCCATCCTGCCGTTCTTCTTCAGCCCTGCCACACTCTGCACTTGTCCCTCACACCTGCTATAGCCACCTTCCTATGTGGCTGCCCTTACCTTGACTGATACTACGGCAAAGCAGTAACTCCTGTGTAAAGACTGGAGCAGATGTGCAAGTGTTTCAGGAGCTTTTCTGATTACCTCTGGATTTGCTGCTCGCTGCCTGCTGTGATGTGGCAGTTTCTCTTTCCAGGCAGTGTATGACTGTAGTAGATGTTGGCATTAAGTGCAACTTCCCTTTCGTTTCTTCTGTAGCTCTTGATGTATCCGTTGGAACCAGCTCAGTGCCTAAGCAGACTTTGCTTTCCATTTAAAGTCCCTCTTATTATTGCTGCTTTTTCTCTCTGTGTCATATTTATCTGTCCAGTTTTCCCTGTATTGGAGAGGATGAGTGTTTTTGTGGGTGCTTTGCTATGCCCCCAACAGCCAGCCGTCAGCGCAGAGAGAGAAACCTTACTGTCACTTGCTCCGTGTTGCTCTCGGACACTCCTGTTTGCAGCACTCCCATGGTGCAGTGGCATGTCCATTGCCAGCTACGCTGCCTGCCATCTTCTCCTCTGGGAGTCTTTGAGAGACTCCTATGTTTAGTCCTGTGCTGATGTTACCTGGGCTGCTTCCAAGAACAACACAGAACTTCCTCTATTCCTAAAACTGACACAGAGAATGAAAACTACAGCAGGATTATTTTTAGTTCTGTAAAAGTGCAGCTGAAGCAGCATTGCTAGATGCTGCCTGGCCAGAATTTGCTGTTTCAAATTGTCCCTGATAGGTGGGGAGTGTGTGTGTGTGGTAGATGGTAGCTTAAAGAACATCTAAGTGCTATTCCTTGATGCTTACATTACAGTTTGGATTGGACCATCAATGCAAATGAGTCTGAAGTCCGAGATTAGTTTCCGATAAATGTTCACCACGAAACCACTCAGTTAAGGAACAGGAAGAAAAGTGCAGATCATAGCTGAGCTGCACTTGCAGAGCTGGGTGCCAGCATGCAGCTCCTGAAGAGCACAGCAGTGGATTTGGCAGGGCTGGGAAGAGCTGGTGGCTGCAATAGTAGGAACTGCTGCAGCCGCTGCCTGAGCTGTATTTGCTGGGCTGTGTATCACACTGGTGGGGACCGGAGGGGGAAGCTTCCTGCCTGCTTTGTGTTCTGTAGTTCTGTACTCTGTCAACAGTATGATACACCTGAGCGTGTGTGTGTGTGTGCAGGATATCCTATGTGCTGTACACCCTCAGGGTGTTTGTATTTAAAGATGAAATGAAAATGAGAACTTTTATTGACCAGCTCCCTGATACCTGCTGTAGCCCTCTCATAGACACCTGCCTGCTTTTCCTTGTTGATTCACTTTCAGTGATCTGGTACCCACAGTACCTCGCAGCAGTCTCTGTGATTTGAAAGAAAGTCTTGTTCTTGCCCCAGAACTGCAAGCATTTACCCCACTCTCTTGTTATTAGCATCTTATGGCAGTGTTTTCCACATGGCACACTCTCTCTCTGGTTGCGTCCTTTCAGGCTGCTGCCTCTTTGCTGACCAGTGAGGGAGCAGTGCTCTGGACTCTCTGTGCTGCCTTCAAGTCCAGATGTCTCCCTAGTATGTTCATCAGCACTTAGAACTCTTAATGCTTTCTCTTGTAAAAGGAGGAGCTGATACTGGAGTTGTGTCTCCTCCTGAACTAATCCATGGCCTAGCACTTAAATCTGGGGGCTTGTTTGTCAAAGTAGCCACAGTGGCAGGATTCATAACCAAAAATTCATAAGGATCAGTTGTGGAAATCAGACCACTCTTGTTTAGAATTGCAGATATTCTACTACTGTTAGCAAAAATCTATCATGTATCATTAAAATTCTACCATAAGTGTCTGTTCTGTTGTCTCTGCAAGCTGATACCAGTTCAAACCTGCGTAACCTCGGAGCTGAGCAGCCTCCCTTTGTACTGTCCTCAGCCTCTGCTGATTAGAATCTTGTTTCACAGAAATGACTTGGTATTGTGCTTTGATAAAGTATTTATCTGGCACAGTCAGGACCGGTTTGTTTACCTGATATTATCTAAGGGCTATAATTCCAGCCAGCAGTCTAAAGTTCACAGGAGGGAAGATGATTTCAGGAAAATGGAGAATCAGACCGGTGATGATGAGTGCAGGGCATTCACGGTAGGGTGCTCAGTCAGGCACCAGAAAAAAGCCTAAAAAAGAAAATAGGAAAGCACTAAACAGTTTGTTTTTCTGGCACCTTAGGATGAGATGACCTCAAGTTTGGGCCTTACCACAAAGAAAGCCCTCACAATCCTGAGAGACCAGCTGTCAGCACTGCTGGAGGGGCATCAGAAGGAACGGAAAAAAGTGACTTCATGGAAGGTGAGGCACCAAACATCACAAGCTTGGGCACTCAGTCTCCCCTTCTCAAAGTAAAGCTGAAGATTAAACAAAAGTTGGCTGCATTTCCTCCCAGACTGCTGCTGCAGAGCATCTGGGTGTAGAACTGCTAAAGTCCTTGGAAACAAAGCAAGGAATCTGCCAAAGGGTATGTTTCTCTCAGCACTTCTCTCCTGGATGCTGGAGCTCTACAGGAGCTTAGTTTCACCTCTGAAGGATCGAAGGGCTTCAAGAGCCACTACTGGTAGTGTGCTTGTGGGGTCTGTATCAGGTGGAAAGAGCTGTGAAGCTCAAGAGTCTCCCCTTATCCACCATGTTTGTCTGGTGTGTGTGTTGAATACAAAGTGCTAGTGTTTATGCACAGTACTTAAATGTTAAAAGTGTTCCTCGCTTGGTTAGTGACAATGGGGCAGCCTGGCACAGAAGCCTTTTCATTCTTCCAAGCAAGAGCAAAGCAGAGCGTGTTCACGCAGACTTGCCAGCTGAGCAACCGTTAGTGCTGTAGCATTCCCATAACTGATCTGGGATGCTCTATATCATTTTCAGGGGTTTTACAAAGTTGTGTTCACCCTGGAATGTCAACTGCTGCCTTCACCCTTTCTCACTCGGCTTTTTCCAAATGTCTGGCTCTGTATTTCATGAATGCTGACTGTCTGCTGCTCTCCTTTCGTAGGAGGTGTGGAGGAGCAGTTTTCTGTACCATGGTAACCGTTGCTCCTGTTTCCACTGGCCTGGTGCATCTCTGATGCTTCTGGCAGTGCTGTTGCTGCTGTGCTGCTATGGGAGCCAGCCACAGGGGAGGTAAGCAAACATCCTCTGCTGGTTAACTGAGGCAAGGTGGTAGTTTTATATTATGTTGACACTATGTGTGGCTGATACAACAGTGTTGTCCCTCGTTCTGTCTAGACATCTAGACAATAGCATATTCACACTGGTAATTCTGTCCCTATCCGTCCCTTTCACAAAACTTCAGCCAACTTAATTCTACTTGTAGTAGACCCATAGAATGTCATTTGGAGAGGCTGAGACTTTTTTTCTACAGTGTTTGTAGATCTTGAAAAATCCAAAGGCATTATCATAGGATGAATTTTGAAACCGGAGAAATCAGTAGCTCATAGAAGTTACTGTGCTGTCACATGTGCCGTAGCATGCCTTGACAGTATTTGTAAGGGCATTTTTTAATTGAGACAGGTCCTTTCAGACTTCTCTGGTGGCATTATTCTAAAGAAGAACTGTGATCATAGCTCTTCCACTTTTCTTTTTTAGCCATAAGTCTGTGGGATGTAGGAATAAACAACTGAGCAGGAGTGCATTTATCTCTGTGGGTGGCTGGCAGTATATTCTGCTCATTTACTCAAAACTCATCTGCTTTCTGCTTTCTTCTGTTTTGCTGTGCAAAGCCAAGGTGCTGAGATAGTTAATGCACTGGCACTCTTCCTCCTTCTCCTCTTGGATCTCTTCATGATTGGGCGTCAAGAGAGGCTGAAGCGCAGAGAGGTGGAGAGGAGACTCCAGACAATCATTGATAAGATAAATGGTGAGGTCTTATTTATCTGTCCACTCATTTGCAGTTGTGTTTTCCTCCCATTGGATTTTTCTCCAAACCTGATCACTTATATTAGTAATTAGGCTTAGTAGCCTTGCCCTGTGTTATGCAAAAACAGGCTGTGAGAATTATGTCCTACTCATGCCTGTCCTGTAGAATAGTTATTTTGAGCAGTCATGTGACCATGTGCTTCCAATCTCTGTGTTATCAGGTAGGCGTCTGTTATGTCTGTGTAGTTTGGAGTCATTCGAATCCTCAGTATCTTACAAAAATATTGGCCTTGCAGCAGATGATGAGAAAAGAATACGTGGGGTTGTACCACAACATAGAACAGAAGGAAATAGATTGCTGTGCATGAGCATCGTCTCAACGGGGGCTTTTAAACCTGAGGAGGCAGTTTATTTCAGTGCAGCAGTTTTAAGGACAGCCTTTAGCTTTTCCATTGTACATGTATTTAAGGTTATAAAATGACTATGTTTAGTTATTAATACTGGGTGGAGAGAGAGGGGAAGAGCCATCAAGGAGAAAGACAGACATGATAGAAGATCATGGAAATGGACTGAGCTTAGCACTGAAGGACCTATAGCAACTACAGGATGTAAATTGATGTATATTGTCCTCTCCAGAATTGTTACCACTTAATTCTTTCACACTTTGTGCTTTCAGATACACTTGGCAAAGAGGTGAAATGGCCAGACTCCATGTACCCTGACCTTCACATGCCTTATGCCCCATCCTGGTCCCTTCATTGGGCCTACAGGGATGGTCACCTTGTCAACTTGCCTGTGAGCCTGTTAGTAGAAGGAGATGTCATTGCTTTGAGGCCAGGCCAGGAGTCATTTGCTTCTTTGAGAGGGATTAAGGTAACTTGCTTGTTTTATTTCCCTGGCCTGTAACAATATACTTCCTAGGATTTTCTTGCCAATACTCTAATTCCCAGTGTACAGCTTATTGGCGTTTTTGGTTTCTTCTGACCTTGAAAATAGCTTGAAATTCCAGTTCAGTCAAGGACGGTGCTTTGTTAAGACTGCCTCTCCTCTATGAACTCCCAAACCCAATGGACAGGAGAACTAATGTGGTACCAAAGCACCACGTTTCCATCTCTTCCAGGTCAAGAGGAAATTGTAACATGCTGCTAAATGCAAGTGGAGTGGATCTATCCAATTGGATGATACAATATGACATACAAACCCCCTACTTTATTCTGGTTTTTATGTGGAGAAACAAAGTTTTTCTGCTTTGAACTTCTCCTTACTACTGATTTATTATAAAAGAAGATGATATAAAATACCCGTAGTAGTAGTAAATTAACAAATCAGTCACAAGATCTATGCAAAGATTTTGCTGCTTGAGGAAGACTGGAAAAAAATTAAAGCGTGAAATTTACCTTTGTTGGTTTTTATCATAGCTTTCACTCTAAATGCCAATTTTCATGAAATAACCAGATGTGCTTGAACACAAACATTTCATTTGGCTTCAAGTTTGAAGCAAGAGTTTAATTAATGAATTTGTGAGAGCTGAGAGGGAACTGTGACAAACACCTATTATGTCATTTGCAGTGGGAGGGATCCTGCTGGACTAAACCTCCAGTCCCTCGCAGCAGGATTCCACCAAGGCCCCAACTGTTGCAGCCTTTGGGCTCTCTAACTTTTTTCCTAGGATGATGAGCACATAGTTCTGGAGCCAGGAGATCTGTTTCCACCTTTCTCACCTCCACCCTCCCCAAGGGGAGAAGTGAAGAAGGGACCTCAGAACCCTCAGCTGTATCGTCTTTTCCGTGTCTTGAAGACCCCAATAATTGATAATGTCAGGTGGGTTAAATACAGTGCACAGTGCCTGCACAGCTTGTCTGTGTCCTTGTTGCTGCCTTGTGTCAGCAAAGAATGAGACTTACCAATCCAGGACAGGAACTGTCAAATGTGCTGTGCTGTGTTTTCTTTATTCCCTGGGAATGCTCTAAGTCTCTTACTGTCTTGTCTTCAATTGTCCTCCTTAACTGGTAGGTTAGGCTAATACATAAAACCACATATATCCTAAGGATTACTGTTCAGCTCATTACTTCCCAACTAAATTTGAACAATGCAGGGAGGATGCAGATTTCATGCATTTGATGTAACTATTGATATGACATCCATTGGTCAACTGGAGATAACAGAGATCTGAATGTCCTGTTGGAGTTCAGTACACATCGGGGTGATGGAGCCTTCCCATTCAGTGGGTGAGGAGACCTGGGAAGTTTGCTCAACAGATTTACCACGGCAGGTTATTCAGGCTGTTATTGAAGAACTTTGCTTCTCTTTTGAAGGTCACCCCACATAGCATAGGGTGAACACAGTGTTCTAATCAGGTCTACCAGGAGGTTTATATCTGAGGAAGGTGTGGAGTTAGGGTCTTGGTTGCTAAAATCTCAGGCTGTTTTCCATTTTTTAGGTGGTGTCTGGAAATGGCTTTGTCACGTCCTGTGACAGCCCTGGATAATGAGAGATTCACTGTACAGTCAGTGATGCTGAAATATGCTGTCCCTATTGTACTGGTAGGTCTCATTTCAAGCCTTTGTTGTTGACTATAGCCATGTTTTGACAAGAAAGGTGAAGAATTTGCAACCATCAACAGGAAATTGTGGCCAGGTCCTAACTCATGCGACTGACTCTGTGTGTACCTTGGGTAGTTCAGAGAAGCAAAAATGCTGAGCCGTCTAGCTGTGAGAGTGGAGGGAGGAACTGCAGCAGCAGACAAAGTATATCTTCCAGACTTTCCCAGGGCTGAGAATGTTACAAGGCAGTGAAAACTGCTTCCCTACATGTACTAGTTGTTAGCTGACAGTGTCGTCTCTGTTTGAATTGCAGGCTGGCTTCCTGATCACTAATGCTGTGCGCTTCATTTTCAAAGCTCCTGGAATTGCTTCTTGGCAATACACTCTTCTTCAGCTACAGGTAAAGGAGAGCTTTGAGCTCCACTCCACTGCCTCCCCAGAGCACCACCGAGACTGATTCCCTCCCTGAAGCGACAGCATCCTTTGCATGTGTGCGTGCTGGATCCAGGAGCTGTCAGTGGAGCAAGAAAACAGCTTTACCCTGGCAATCCCTCCAGACTGCCCTTTATGTTGTTTGTGCTCTCTCACTTGCCACGTATGTATATATGTATGTGTATGTCTACATATATGTGTATAGTATCCCTGCCCTTTAAACTTGTAACCTTTATGTCAAATTCAGCAGGAAAATCAGCTGCAAGTTGGTGTGATATATTCATGGCCTCCTTCATTACAAACTCTGAAGGGTGTGTGTGTCTCCCTCCTGTGCTTCTCCTTGTGCTGCACTGCTTCCAGTGCAAGCAGTCTCCTTCCTTCCTGCCACTGCCTTCTGCCTTTTACCCATCCTCTCTCACTGTGGTGGAAAAGATATCATGTGAGAGGTCTGACTTCTTGTTGTATCTGTGCTTGCTGGTGATTACAGTTTTTTTTCAGGTGAATGGTGTCCTACCCATCCTTCCGTTGCTCTTCCCTGTCCTGTGGGTTCTTGCTACAGCCTTTGGAGAAGCCAGAGTCTTGGCCCAGATGAGCAAGGCCTCATCCACCTCACTGGTAGGTATCTCTCCACATCAAACCATTGCAGAGAAAGGGACAGAAGGTGGGAAGGGCTCTGTGAAGTGAGCACAGTGGATTCAGTAGATGTGTCCACATTATTGTAAAAGCTTTGGATCTTTGGTTGTCCCAGCTGTGCCCTCTCCATGGAGCAGTGTGGCTTGTTCTTGAACAGATGTTTTAATTTTTTCAACTCATCTACAGTTATCCCAAGGTGATAGGAACCTCCAGTGATTCCAATAATCTCTTCAAGGCATGTCCTTTCTATCAGCTAAGCTTAATCTTTCAGAGGGATCAACATGGAGATGAATGCTCTGTGGTGACTATAACTAGAGAACTTTTAGCCACTGAGGAGTGGGATACACGAGATCCTCTGCAACCCCTTGTTTTAACATGTGGGCTGAGGCTCTGGGGCTTTGCTTGCAGGTATGGCCTTTGCAGTGGATCAGGGAGTAAGAGGAGTTTCTGGTGGTTGTGCTGGTTTGGGGAGTGGAGTTTGGCAGTCTGATGGATGTGTGATCCTGAACTGGATGCACTGATGGATGTCTCTTGTTCTCTCCTGGTGGCAGTGTTGGTGACATGCACTGTGCTATGTTTGTCTTCTGTGCTGACTCTGTTATGCCTGTACTTGGAGAGAGTTTCTCTCCTTCTTGGCTTTCCTTGGCCTCTGTGGTTTGTGTTTTCTATTCTTTTCCCTGTAGGTCGTACACGACTAAGTTGCCTGTGTCCTGGGAGGGAGGACACGTATTACCTCCCTCAGTGGTGTTTGCACCTTTACCATCTCTTTCCAATGTTTTCTCCACTTTACCTTTCCTACTCATTCTCAGCTTTACTTGGTTTCTGTCTTTGGAACCTTCTTTCCTCTTTCCCTTCACACCTTGCTGTTTGGCTGGGAGAAGCCAGAGCTCCTTGGCTTCCCTGCTTCATCATTCTCAACATACACATTTGCTTTGTCCTTCAGACTTGCACCTTCCTCATGTTCTTTCCTGTCTTCTTTTTCTTGCCAGGCAGCTCACTCTGTCCAGCCAGCTTTTTCTGTGACATCTCAAACATGATCCTCCATCCTTGCTGATGCAGAACAACTGTTGTGATGTGCCTTGGTCATTCTCCCCCTTGACTAGGGCAGTCTTCTCTTGGCCTCCCTATTTCACTTCTTCCTTCTCTCTACTCTGTTCAAAATGTAGTAGGTAAGACCCTCTTCCTCTCCAATCACGTGGCCTGTGTGACACTCTTCACCTTCTGCCCCCTCCCATCGTGTTCAAGCTGTTTGATTCCCAGTTTTTCAAGGCCATAGGTGACTGTCATGACTGGTTTAGTCAGACATCCTGCAGGACACAAACTGGTGCCCCCCAAAACAAACCCCTGCCTCAAGTTTGTTACTATAGTTGGACTACAGCAGCATTCCTTTTAGAAAGGAATTTGATGTTGGTTTGAAAACATTTGTACTGCCTTTGATAGGTTGTTTCAGTAATTATTTATCTTCACTACTAAAAATGGGCATTCTGTTTTAGTGGGAATTTTTATAGTATCTGATTTCCAGCCCTTGGAACGTTTACATCTTTTGTCTCCTAGGTTTAAGAGCACGTCAATCAAATTTCTGGTCTGTTGTAGCTACTCACATGCCTTTTTACTGCCTCTTTGGTTAAGTAAAGAGTTTAAGCACCTTGAATCACTATAAGCATATTTTCCAACCCTCTGATCATTCTCTTGGCTTTCCTCTTAGTTTTCTCCAGTGCTTCAGGATCACTGTAGAATTATGAATCTCAAAAACTCACAAAATATTCCCGTAAAAGTTGTGCTTGTGCTAAATTTCAGAATAATTTGGACTTTCTACTCTATGTTCCCTTGTTAGTGCAACAAAGGATCGTATTAGATCTTTCAGCCACTGCTTTAAATGGCCAGGCTTTGTCCAGCTGATAATCTACAGTTACTGCTTTCTAGGATAGAGTCCTCATCCTCTAAGTCCAACCTTAATTTTTGCTCCTAGGTATGCAACCTTACTTTTGTACCTGTTGGTATGCATGTTTTTGCTTATTTACCAAGCAGTCCATACTGTTCTGTAGCAATGGTCTGTTCGCCTTATTACTGGACCCTGCTCCAAACTGTATAGTTTACACTCTCTATCAGTAATGGTTTTTTAGTTTTCTTTCAGGCTATTAACAAAACACCCATAATTTGTCCCTGCTTGAGCTAGTAACACATCCTATTGCAAATAATTCCTCAGTTTCTGTTTCATTTGGAGATAATCTGCTTCTAATATATTTAATATGGGCCCTATTTCTCTGGTATTACTCTAGTTTTTGTTAGAAAACCAGTAAAGCATTTTGTATCTAGTCAAAGTACCAAATAGTCCATGTCAAAAGCATTACTTTTATCAGTCAAATTAATAATTAGTAAAAAAAGATATTACAATAGTTTGATTAGATTTATTATTCATATACTTGTAGCGTTTGGTGCTGGTTGTATTATTCCACTTCTTTTCTTTTATTGGAGTCTCATATTAGCTGCTCTGTTATTCTGCCTGAAATCAAAGTCTGTCTGGGGTCCTGTGGTAACTCGGTTTGTTCTCCTTACTGTTTTTAGGCACTGGCACATTGGCTTTCTTCCATTGCACTGGGACTTAATCCATGCTTCAAGCCTTGTGCAAAATCAGCAGTAACAGTCAGAAAGTTGTCCAGACCTGCTAATTTAAACATATTTACTTTCAGCAGCTAGTGCTAGAATGGAAAATATTTCATAGTTATCATATGGTATGATTATATCACTGAATAAGGAATAGCAATATTTATTTAACACGTCTGCCTTGCCTGGAATATCATTTGCAATTTCACTGACTTCAACAAACAGTGGTTTTAATTACCTATTGGTATGCTTTCTTGTGTTTTTATGTTAATTTTCACTTCTATTTTCACTTCCACTCAGAACTGGACTTTTTTAGTTTTACTATGGATTGTTGCTTTTTCAAATTTTAGTACAATATTGTTAAACAGTTCCTAATCCTCCTTCATAGTTCTCAGTTTAAATTATTTATGAAAAATTTGTCTTTGTTTTTTTCAGCTATGTTAAACTGATACTTTTTAAAGAGCCAGATATATGCACTATTATTTGGGGTGTCATTCTATTTACATACAAATATAATTTCTATATTCACTTATGCTTATGAATATACTTAAATTAAACTGTTTTCCAAAATTACATCTACTATGGAATTCCTTTTTGCTGGATGCACAAATTTTGAGTTAGTAAATTTCTTGTAATTCCAAGAGCCCCATGGTAGTGCCCTGCTATAATTTCTTTTCATTTCCTATCCACATCCCATTCATATCACCTCATTCCTCTGTGTCCATTATGATCCAGGCACCTGCTTTTACAACCACTCTTCTAGCTCCCTTCTTTTAACTGACACATATAGCTTAAAAACAGATGAGTCTATCCTGGCTTTTTCTGTCTAAAAATGACCATCCAGAAAGAGCCTCCTCTGTAGACATTTAGGTGATGACTGTGTGTTCTTCTGTGATGTATAGCACCAAGCACTTTGACTGTGTGTCACAAGTAGATAAAGACATAGTCCATTAAAGACTTAATTGTTTTGATGAACTATTGGTCTGCCTTGGTATAGTGATTCCTACAGAGCAGGACTCCTGCTTTCTTCTCTCTGAAGGCACAGTATTTAGAGAAGGATGAGCCTCATGACACATTTCTGAGCACGATTATAGTAACTGGTCTCTTCTCTTGCTGCAGCTTGCTAAGTTTTCAGAGGACACTCTCAGCAGCTACACAGAGATGGTATCTTCTCAGGTACTATTATTATGAATTGTTTTCTTCCATCTTCACTGCAGAACTTCATGATATCCTTTCCCTTCCTCTCTGTTCTCCTGCTTGTTCCTAGACCCTTTTTACTTGTGTCAGTTGTCCATTGTCACTCATTTGCTGCTTTAATTTGCTATGCATGCAGGTTGCATGTCTTTCCCCTACACTTTCCCATGTAAATGCTGCTCTGCTGACCAGAGATTGAGGTGACTTTGATACTGTGCCCGGTTGTGCTTTTCTGAATATTGCAAATGGTTTGAAATCAACTTTTTCTGTCCTGAAGAAAGTACCTCTTTCAAGTCCTTCTCTTCCAAGAGTAAAACAAACTTTTTATGGTGTGTGTCAGAAAGAAGGGATGTGTTTTGCTTGTACCGGAAAAAACTCCTTCTTCAAGCCAAAAACTAAAGAACAGGGGATGGTGGTCAGCACCAGGAGCAAATGTGAAGAGGGGACCATGGGATGTTCAGGCTTTTAAAAAGTCTGATCCTGTTTCATATGCTCCTTAACGAGCTTAAGCACATTACTAGTGCTTCCAAAGCTGGGACAAATAAACCTTCAGAAGACCTTTTTCTGGGGGAGGAACTGCATCTGGCCACTCTATAAATTGCATCATCCAGATTAAACAGGTGGGTAGAGGAAAGACACTTTTCTGTCTAATCTGGCATTAAGATTCCCCTTTCCATAAGGAGGCAGATGGACTCCAGGAGTGATTAAAAATCCCTAGGTATTTTAAGAATCAGTTCCTATCTCCTTGCTCCCAGACAGATAGAGGAGTGCACATGGATGCATATACATATGCTGCCTTTGCTGAGTATTTTGTTGTCTTCTTGCACCAGTTCGTCATTTAGCTGAGATGTTTTTCAGGTGCTAAATGGGAGTGATTTGAGCTGACCTTCCTCACTGATAAGATTTTCTTCTTTCCTTTTGTACCTATGTAACATTTTTGCTTATGAGAAGGTGGTTAAATAAGAGCTTGCTTTCTTCCTGGAAATAGCTTATAATTGTTTTGCATTTGAGTTTATGGCTGTACTAAGGAAGTTGATCTAAGGAGCTTTGGGGGTAATGCTCTGCAGTAACAGAATTCCAGACCAACAGCTAAAAAGCAATAAAATAACACTGTAATGCAAACCTGGTTTTGCTGGCTTTAGGAGCGCACAGAGAAAAACATACAGCTCTGGTGCTTCGATTGATGGCTGCCATCCAGACTCCCTCTGAAACATTTTTGTGTGGAAGATGAAGGGTGCCAACTTGATGTTTTTATTTTGCAAAATATCTCCTTCTTTCAGATTATCACCATGTTAATTGCAATTCATTTGTAATGATGGAGTGGTCAGGGCACCTTGGCTTTATTTCCAACATTGTCACTGCCTCAGTAAGTAACCTTGGGCAGGTCTCCTCACCACAGTGACTCCATTTACCCAGTTTGCAGCATGGTGATGTTTAAGGCCTCAAACTCTATAATGTAAAGGGATGAGAGTTAACTTAGGAAAAAATACTAAGAGGTAACAACAACTGAATCACCCCAAATGAAATCACTTCAGAATTCTTTCCTGTGTTTTTGGATAGACACTGGTAGTTTCAGTGAATTCTCAGTTCCACAATCAGACTGTCAGCATGCTCTGGAAGGGGGAAGAAATGCCTTTCCCTTGAGAACATCAGCACCGTATCAGTTAACAGGTTCCCACGGAGACTGGTGTTTATCTTACAGTGTATCACTGTGTTGAACCTGAAAGCAGGTAATATCATACTCCCTTTTTTCCTTCTCTCCCATCATCTTTCACTGAATGAGTCTTTAATTGGCTGATGTCCTTTGCTTCCTTTGGCAGGAAATGATACGCTGTATCTGGAGTCACTTCCTCTGTGTTCTAAAAGGCAAATCCCCAACTCTGAGCTTCACTTCCAGCTTGCTCCATAGTCTGGGATCTGTCACTGTGAGTATTGCTGGGTTGTCAGAAGGAGGAGCCCTCTGTGGCTGCTTCATTTGCATTGTTCATGTCGTCCTTCCCTGAGCATAGACTGTTAGCAGTCAGTTCACTGTGCTGGAACTAGAAACCCTTCAGGCACCTGTTTTTGTAGAAGAGTTAATAACTGTCTTATCTTGTCCAAGAAGGACATTTATAGGCTAAAACAATGGTTAGAGACACTCTGTGGCATCTAACAAGGTGTCTGTATTTTCCAGCTCTGGTTCTGGTTCCATAACCCTCTTGACTCCTGTTCAAGAACCAGCTAGTTTGAGTCCTGATAAGGTATTAGCTGGTGAAACAGGTTGAGTAGTTGCTTACTTCCCATGGTCTTCATGTCTAGTTTTGCAATATCTTGAGATAAAATTGGTGTTAAATGACCCATCAATCCTGCTAGAGCAAGGAATTCTTGGATTTCTTGGAGGGTTATTAGGTACAGTTTCTTAAGAAAGAAGGTTGTTGAAGGAGAGACTTATCTGTCCTCCCATGTATTTATTAAACTTATGATATTTACAGCTATGAATGAACACTGAGACATGTCTTCACTGAGATTTTGCTTTCTTGGGGGTGTTGTGGGATGTTCTAGGTGCTCTGCTGTGTAGACAAGCAGGGGATTCTTTCCTGGCCAAACCCCAGCCCAGAGACTGTTCTGTTCTTCAGTGGGAAGGTGGAACCACCTCATGATAGCCATGAAGATCTGACTGATGAGCTCTCTACACGGTCCTTCTGCCATCCTGAGATGGAAGATGAGGTGAGTGATATGTAATCCATAATGCAGTGTGTTGGCTCTAATCATAGTTTGACTGACCAGCACAATGTGGTATTATACAGGGGACCTTTTGCTTCTAGGGAAGTCCTATGCCATAATTCTTTGCTAAAAAGATATAGCAGCAGTGAGGATAAGATCTTCTTTTACAGGAATCCTAAAGCACCAGGTGAATCAGTAGTGGCTCATGTTCAGCCACTGAATCACCACTGTTCATTTTGTTGGTCTCTTGCAGCCCCATGAAAGAGATGCTTTGCTCTCTGGCCCACTGGCAGACACAGTCCACATGACCAGTGAGCAGGAGAGGAGCAGCTGGTCTAATGACCCCCCAAAGGCTCCCGATGCCCATGCCCACCGAAAGCCAAACAGCAGAAGCAAGCATCCCTCTGGGTCCAATGTGAGTTTTAGCAAGGACACGGAGGGTGGAGAGGAGGAACATGCTCAGGTGAGACATACTGAAAGGGCACACAAGTAGTCATTTGTGGAGCTGTAAGACAGACTTAAACTTGTAGAGTCTGCCCTTTTGGGAATTTAATTGGGAATTCTCTGCAGGATTCTAGGCTCAAGCTGTAATCATCGTAACCAATTAGAGTTTTCCCGTCTGTTGGACCAGGTTGTTGGTGACAGTGAGGTGTTGGCTTGTGAGGCTGAAGACTTTGTGTGTGACTACCACCTTGAGATGCTTAGCCTGTCCCAAGACCAACAGAACCCCTCCTGCATCCAGTTTGATGACTCCAACTGGCACATGCACTTGAATTCCCTCAAGCCTCTGGGCCTGAACGTGCTGCTCAATCTCTGCAATGCCAGCGTAACAGAGCGTCTGTGCCGCTTCTCTGACCACCTCTGCAACATTGCCCTCCAGGAAACTCACAATGCTGTGCTGCCTGTCCACGTGCCCTGGGGCCTCTGTGAGCTTGCCAGGCTAATAGGTAAGGAGAAACTGGATGAGTGGACACAGAGAAATCAGAGCTGTCAAAAGACACTTAATCCTTAGAGAGCACAAGAAGAATATTTCCTCAGTCCTGGTTGCTGGGAAGGTGGAATTACAGCACTGACTCTTGTTGTTCGGTTGCCAGAAGAGTCTATTAAAGAGATTGCTTTTGGCAAGTTCTGACATTGTAGACACTATCAAAGGAACAAATGTCATCAAGGGTATTTCCAGCCAGCCCTGGCTAGGCTGGAAATCTTCTGGCTCGAGTCTGCCAATCTCATCAGGGGACAAAGAACACCTGCTAATGGACAGATAGCTGCCCTGTCTTTGCAGTAATGTTTTACCAGGAGTTTGGGTATAAATGATGGGAGGTACCTCAGCTTGTTTTATAGATGGGAAAACTGAGGGGAGACGTGACATTAGAGGTAACACTAGGATTAAAACCTGAAAGCCTTGAACTCACTTCTATGCCTGTCCTTCGGTGTCACAGTTTCTTCAATGAACCAGAAGCACGAAAGCTGTAATTACATCTACATTACATTACTGATAACATCTAGTGTTTCTGAATGTTTTTCATCATAGATGTTGAGCCATCTTGGTGCAGATGCACAGTGAGCACAGCTCACCGCCCTATTGCTGCGCACATGTCAGAAGGAGTGCAGGCAAAGTGGGTGGCACAGAAGCAAGAGAGAGACCCTTTCTTTTGCATTGGTTAGAGCCCAATTTTTCTCCTTGTGTTTATGTTTCAGGTTTCACACCAGGTGCTAAAGATCTTTTCAAGCAGGAGAACTATTTGGCCTTGTACCGCTTGCCAAGTGATGAGATGGTTAAGGAGACAATCCTGGGGAAGCTTTCATCAATCACCAAGAGGAGACCACCCCTGAGCCACATGATTAACCTTTTTGTGAAGGACACCACTACCAGTAAGGCTGCACCTTTCTTTGGGCATCCTCTTGGTATGGGAGGATCTTTCCAGACTGGAATAGTCTGGAGTCCCTGTGGGGCGGTAGCCTTGCTCTGCCCATGGCCAGTACAGATATACTCAACAAACCTTAGTGATCAGTGCTATGGCATACTGAGAGGGGTGGGGTGGAGGTAGTTCTTCCCAGCTCTTGCTTACTCCAGGATCATAAATAATTTTTAAAAATTATCTTAGATAACACATAGTAAACCTATTTTCTGGGACTAAATGTCAGGGCAGAGCAAGGTGGGGATTTTGTTGGGTTTTGAATAGACTTCATTATGGTAGTGAAACTGATACTGCACAGGGTTGAATATTACTTAAGGTTTTAGTGAAACTGATACTGCACAGGGTTGAATATTACTTAAGGTTTTAGTTAGTGATGCTCATCCCTCTGGTAACCCAAATCATAAATCATTATATTTGTGAATTGTCTAGTGTATTATATTGTGTACTAAGAAGAAATCACAGAAATCCCGTGCACACTCATGGTGACCATGAACACAACACCTGAAGCCATGCTGACTTCTCCACTCCTACTCCTTCCTATTCTAATAGGAATGGACTGTGATGGAAAAGACATACAGCTGGGCACCATGAGGTCTTAAAGCACCTCAGCAAGATTTAACAGCTTGTATGTTAGAGCTCTTAGGCTCTTCATAATACCTTAAATTGACTGAACTTAGTTCTCTGGAGCTGACATATGTTCAATATTGAATCTGAAATATGATTCTTATGCTGGCCAGAATTTTACCAGGTGAACTTTTATTACCCAGTTCTTAAATTCATATCTTAATCTGGGGAAGAGCTTTTTCATTTGCCCTGATTGCTTCTATCTTGCCTTTGTGAGCAAGAATGTTTCTGATGCTGAGATTCCTAGAGTAGGGAAAAACCTTTAATGTTGCCTCATTTCAACTCCTTATCCTCATTTTTAAACGGTTTAATTTAGAGGCTGAAGCTCAGCCGAATACATGTGTGACCTGGATTATGCTGTCTAGAGCAAATTCTAAGAGGAATTTTGCCAGTGGGGTTAGTTAACTATTGGAACACCTCTCACATGATAGTCTTGTCCCTTGAAACTTTCTAAAATGTGTACAATCAGAAATAATGGATTATGCAAATAATATTGGGTTAACTGATATAAATTGGCTCTGTTTATGCAGAAGAGTCAGACCAGATGATCATAACTAACCTCTCGATTATTTGTGAATAAATCTTTGAATCCACCCACTCCCATGGTGTGCTGAAGTCAAAGGGAGATACATAATAAATTCTACAGCTGTAGCAGAAACAGGAGGTAGCTTATCTGTATGTTCCCTTGCTATTCCATTGAAATATATGTCTCACCATCTGGCAGTGTTCATCCCAAATCCATAGTAACCACATGGAAATGAGGGGCTCACTGGCATCTTCAGTGGAGTAAAGTGGCTTGATACCATCTCTGTCTTCTTTTGCTATAGCTGCACTCTTCAATTCCTTTTTCTTTGTCTCTCTGGCTCATCTGTAGTGGCTTGGTTCTTCCTAATGAGTCCCAGCAGTCATGAATGGCTAGTCACACTCCCTGTCCTATTCATTAGCTTTCTCCCTTGTGCCAGAGAAATCCTGGCCTTCAAGTTCATGATATAGGAAGGAAAGAGGCTGAGCTCACTTTACTGGCAATGACAGCTGAATGAACTCCTTCCAGTTTATAGTGTGTGCTGTCACTATCATTTACCCCTCAGAAGGATTGTCCTGTGGGATGCTGATGGCACGGAATGGGAAATGGAATCCAGTTTTGTCAGGCAGGACCGTCGGTATGTCTGTGCCTGTGGTCATCTGCAAGCTCTTGCTCTGTGTCCAGGCCATAGGTTTTGCATGAATCCATAACATCTCTTGTTCCCTGTTTCCTAGCCAGGATTATCTGACCATAGGAGCAAGGTGGGAAGGATTAGGTGTTTATACAATAAAATTAACCAGAGCTCTGCACAAGTACTCCTTTGTGTCCATGAGACAGGCTGCTTCTTTCACACACAGCTTCTATTCGTCTCGGAGGTTTGTTATGCTGATAAACTTGGCGTGTGATGACTATTTATAGCAGAAGGCAGGGAGCTGCTATGTTTTGGAAAATCCTCCGGTGTTCCTGAAGGTCCCTGCCTGGTTTGTGCAAATGGATATTCTTGGCTCTTGATTTCATCAACTAGTGTGAGCATTTGTAGTCAGCAACAATGCCTGCAAGAAGCCTTTGGGCTCATTTTTCTTGGCAGTGATGTTTTTTTCATTAGATCAGCTTTGAAGCTGTTGGGGGCAAAGTCACAGAGCAGCTGGAGGAGGGAACCTAGACAGAGAAGTCTACGTGTGTGCAATGTTAATCTATCAGTGCAAACGAAAGGGAGCAGGAAGTGTGGAGGGGGAGGCAGCCCTGCGTCCTTTAACTTGTGTCCTGTGCCTGGGTCCTGCATCAGACAAGTGATACCACACTCCTTTGAGAAATGTTTTATAACACCTCTGTCTCCAAAAGGGAATAAAAGATTTTAAGTCTGTATTAAAGAGAAAAGTAGTGGAAGAAAAAAAACAGGACAAGCTGTGGTGTCCATTGATTTTCAGTTCTTCCCTGATCACAACATGAGTTACTTTTTTAGAGTCTGTTATGTTGAACTTTTGACCCATCCTGATTTAACACGTTTTCAGGACGCTTTGTGAAACAGGCTGCTATCTCATGGGTTGCACTGTTAAATTGTCTTCTGCTACTTGAATGGAAGGTGTTCAAGAATAGCTCTTACCCTTTAGATCCATGCCTGGCCTAAAATTGAATGCACTTTGATCCCCATAGGCTTATCACTGGTGCTTGTACTCTCATGAGGAGGCACACAGGAATATCTTTTCTTCTGCTCTGTTGGATATGGGAGCAAGGTATTATCCCACCTGCTGTAGAAGCAGGATTGTTAGACAGTGTAAGGGGAGAATAGGAACTATGTGGCTCACATTTTATCACAGCTTTGTTTGTACTCACAGACAAATAGCTGAATACATATCATGCAGTCTTTATTAATTTCTCAATGGAGACTGAACACTTCCAACAGAGGAAGGGGGATATCCAGAGTGCATCAAGGCGGTTTGAGGGAATGCTCTCTTTTAGCAAATATGGGAGCACTTGATACGATATCGCTTTCCTGGGAACCTCTATGATGCTGACTCACTTTTCTCCTACACTTCAGGCACTGAGCAGATGTTTTCTCATGGGACAGCTGACATCATCCTTGAGGCCTGCACAGACTTTTGGGACGGTACCGATATCTACCCCCTCTCTGGCTCTGACAGGTGGGCAGCTTTGTCATTTGGTGCATTCAGGGCCTTCAGATAAATTGCAGAGGGAACCTGGTCATTTTGTTAAAATTCCCTTTACTGATGCTTGTTAAGCTATTTAATAGAAGCTTCAAGTAGGTTATGAACATGAGCTGTCTCTGCTTACAGTTGTTATAATTATAGCAATGTGGACTGTAAGACTAAGCCACCTCTTCCTGTATCTGTGAACCCTTATAAGTGGACTCTGATTGTACTGTGTAGTAGAGCCAGGAATTATAATCAGGTCACATGCTGGTGGCAGAGCCTGTTGACAGCTTCAAACCTCTCCACCACAATCCATCATACCCTTTTAATCCTGCTACAATATCTGACAGTGTCTTGCATTTTCATCTGTAGGCAAAATTTCTGTTCCTGCTAGCAGAGCAGACCAGTAATGTTTAGTTTCATTGATTAGCAGCACATCGTTCTTCTAGGTCTGCTTATCATCAGGCGTGAGAAAACTCCCACCGGTCCTTTTTGGAATATTTATCATCTTAGAAGCTAATAAAAAATCCTATGTATAGTCTAATTTGTTACGTTTGTGAGCTCAACATAGACAAGGAACTTTACACTATTCCAGTGACTGAATATTGACTAGATGGAGACGTCACATACAGCTCCTGGGACCCAAACTCTGAAAGGGGATCGGAGACAAGTCCATTATTGTAACTATCTCTGTCATAGATACTATTGTCAGAGTTGTCAGTTCCTTCCTTGGTGTTTATCTCCCTACAGATAAATTCTCTCTGATCAATTAACCTTCTGCTGTCATGCAGCGAACTTCTTGGAGTCATCTGGCAGCCATATAGAGCATATTATGTTAATAAGTGTATTCAAAGAGTACTGTGTTCATACTCATCAATCTAACTGATGAACAAAAAGAAACATTCACCACTGCCCGTGTTGGAATATGTGGTTTTGTTGCCCTGTAGTGCCTGCAGCTTAGAGAATGCAGAAACAGTAAGGAAGGGCTTTTTCAGCGTCTCTGACCACTCTTCATGGAATACATTTTTCCAAATACCCAACTGGTGATTTCTACATTGAACTACAGCATATGTTGTCAGAAATGCAGCACATTTCTGCTAACTTTGTCTTTTTTTGTCTCTTCCACATAGGAAGAAGGTCCTAGATTTCTACCAGCGAGCCTGTCTCTCAGGATACTGTTCTGCCTTTGCATACAAGCCAATGCATTGTGCCTTGTCCTCCCAGCTCAATGGCAAGTGCATAGAACTGGTGCAGGTCCCCGGGCAGAGTGCGATCTTCACGTGCTGTGATCTGCCTGGGACAACGCCCATCAAACAGAGCAGTCGGAGGAATAGCTGGAGCTCAGATGGTATGTGTCTTCCGTGCTGTCAATAACAAGGTCTGCTGCTGGACCAGGTGCTTGCTTTCTGATCAGTCTAGAGCTGCAAGAACATTGTTATTCAGAGTAGCAGATGGAAATTGAGAACTAAGGGTTTCTGAAGTAGATGCATTTCCAGAGGAAGTAGTGATGTAGCAGCTGGTAGGTATGTTTCTAGTTAAGTTACTGAAGCTTACAGAGAAATTCTACTAGTGGGAAGTCTGTTTCTTAAAGCAGGGAACTGAGAGTCAAGACTTCTGGGTATTTTGATACTTGGTTTGCCATTTTTTTAACTTTATGGAAATCACATATGTTGGGTTTTTCAAAGGAATTAAATGTATGGTGATATGTGACTATTCTCCCTTAATGGAATTTGTTGCTGTGCTGGAGGAACTGATTCCCACTAGATAAATTGTACATCTCCAGAACAGCAATGGAAACTGAGAAATAAGCACATACCATTACATAACTCCAGTAGGTTGTTTTGGAAAAGCAGTCTTAATCTCTTTCTGCCTTGGTCTCCCATTCTGTAAAATGTGAATAATGGGGTTTCCAACAGCTGGGAAGCAGTTGTGACTGAGTTTTCAAAACACTTTTTAGTCCCACCTATGGCAAGCTTTGCATCTGTGTGAAGTGTTTTATAATTTTGTTCCTCATGCTCCTCATGGAGCATCCAGCTCCCATTCACCACAGGCTGATCTGGTGATGGTGAAGGAGCCCTGTCAGAGAACCTTTGCAGGGTCTTTGGGAGTGTCTGCAATGTCACTGTAGGGAACATGACCCAGTTCCTTTGCATCAGCCCCTTGTACTCTGATGCCACTCTGCCTCAGCTAGACTCACCATGTTGTTTAAGCGCAGTATGATGTGTTGAAAATGCACATGTGAAAATTGTGCAGCGCATCCTGTACCTTTCTGCCCCAGTTCTTTGCGACTGATCCCTGTTTTCCATTTTATCTTTTTCCTTTCCATGCTCACTGTTTCATGCTTGTATTCTTGGTCGCATATGTGGGGATGTCCTGAAACCGCTTCTGTGATTGGGTATGCTGGGACAAATGGATGTCTCTTCATCTTTCCTCCTATATATGTGTGTGTCTGTATCTGCATGTTTCTGTGTATCTGGGTGCTGTGTCCTTGGGTGTTATCGTGGTGGCCTCTCCCACCATGTGTATTTTGTCTTTTGATGCACATGTGGCCCTTTGTGTCTCAATGCGATTGCGTGTTGTTTGCATGCCTGAAGAAGGGATTGGGGAAGTGATGGAGAAGGAAGACTGTATCCAGGCTCTGAGTGGACAGATCTTCATGGGAATGGTCTCATCTCAGTATCAGGCCCGCCTTGATATTGTCCGCCTCATTGATGGATTGGTCAATGCCTGCATTCGTTTTGTCTACTTCTCCCTGGAAGATGAGCTCAAAAGCAAGGTAAGCTGTCTCTGCTGAACCCCCTGAACTTGCATGCCCCCTCGTTGTCTGACTAGAGAGTTTAGCTCCAATGCAATCTAAGGTTAATCTGATTCTGCTAGCTAATGGGGCCAGAAGGTATCTATGCTCCAGTATGGCATTAATCTACAATGGTCTGGCCGGGACAGCTACACTAAAATCTTTCTCCTGCTCACCTACAGGTGTTTGCTGAGAAGATGGGTCTTGAGACTGGCTGGAATTGCCATATATCTTTAACGCCTAATGGTGATGTGCCTGGCTCAGAGATCCCTCCCTCTAGCCCCAGCCATGCTGGCTCTCTGCACGACGACCTTCATCAGGGTGAGAGAACTGCACCTAAGCCACTTTGAATGCCATGTGTTTCCTGGATGGTTCTTTTAAACCCAATCATAGGTTCCGGTGTCCTCACCAGATACCTGATCCTTCAGAGCTTTGAGCACAAAACTGGATGGGCCTGAGGTGTGTGTGTGTGAGTGAGAGCACCTTACATTTACAGCCTTTCTCCCCAGTCAGTACCACAGTTGTTGGAAACAAACATCCTTCTGTGGACCAGCTGCCATGATTTTACAACTGCTTATCAGTGCTTTTGGTTCTTGCTGGGGCCTTGGTCAAGCCACAGAGGGTCTCTTGCCTGTGCATTACTCTTTCTTCTTACTTCAGGTGGGATTTCTTTGCTCTCTTCTTCCCCTAAAAGAAGAAAGAGAGCAGAACAGATAAACTCTCATGCCTCAAAAGAGCAGAGACTAGGCTCACATATCTACCTCTGAGCAGATTAGTCATCTGAAAATACTGCATTTTAGATGACTGAGTGGGATCTAAGTGTTGCTAACCTAGAAAATCAGGCCTCACATTTCCTGGCTTCTGCAGCGCCACGTGAATATATCATGTGGGTGGCAAGGGGTGGCAGAGGCAGGTTTGTGCTTATTGTTTATGTTGCTTCTCTGCTCCAGTTTCTCGAGATGATGTGGAGGGGCTTCTGCTGATGGAAGAGGAGGGGCACTCGGATCTCATCAGCTTTCAGCCAACAGACAGTGATATCCCCAGCTTCTTGGAGGACTGTAACAGGGTGAGGCCCCCTTTTCCTACACACCTTGTGCTGTTGTCATGGTCAGCAGTATCACCTCATTAGTCCCAGAAGGAATTCCTCCTCCAAGCAGATTGATTGACTGGTTTGCACTGGGACTCCTTTATTTCCCCCATCCTCTTCCAGCTTGGTACCTAGAACCTGGGAAGTTTGGGATTCTCTCAGGTAATCACTTTCGTTGAATAGGTCTTTTCTTTGGAGTTTAAGAATGGAGATGACCACATATGGGGTAGCCTTGAGAGCCACACCTCAGTCCATCTGGGTCCTGTTCCCACATGCTGTGGGGAGTGGAAACATCCCCACATTCCATGCAGACAGAAGAAACTTTGTCTGTCCTCCAGCTGTGAGCCATGGCTGGTGCTGCCCAGTAGTCAGAGTGCAGGACAAGCTCTTCCTGCCTCATAAAGAACTCAGACCTGCTCAGCAGAGGTTAGAGGCATATCAAAGAGAGATGCAGATTTTTTTTTAAAAAAGATAAATTCTATTAGGCCTGGAAAGCAAGAACTCTTGCTTTGGTGTATGTTGATGTGGCTACAATTGAAGTAGATCTGGTTGCTGGGAAACAGCACATAGTCTCTGACTAGATTCTCCATACAGGTAAAAAGTCCTTAGAAATCCTTGAGCACAGGTTTGTCGTGCTGATCTTACAAACCCTGAGGGCTAGCACAGACAGCTTGGCCTGTCAGCATAGAACTTTAGCAGGAGACTTTTTACAGTGGCTTTGGAAAGCCAGATTCTGTTTGCAGGGACATCAGTTTGTGTCTGATGTTGAAGTTGCATAATTCTGGGAATCATAATTCTCACTTCAGTTCTGTCTGAAATGCCTCTCCCACACACATGCTCCCCTGCTTAGTCTTTTTCTCTTTTTCAGGCCAAACTCCCACGGGGGATCCATCAGGTGAGACCTCACCTGCAGAACATAGACAATGTGCCTTTACTGGTGCCCCTCTTCACAGACTGCACCCCAGAGAGTAAGTGGCACAGAACCTGGGTTGTCCTGCCCCATCAGTACCTTCCCCGTGCATTTGCTCTGGCTTATCCGGGTGTGGACATGGGTGAAGGGAAGGGGATACAGTCCAGAAATCTAGAAGGGCATTTTGATATTAATGACCCTCTATTGCTACCTGTGGGAATCCAGGTGTTAAATTCATTTTAATGCAGCTGTTCCCTAGCTACAGAATTGGGCTAAGAACCACTCCTTTCAATTTGCATTCATAAGAGACACAAGAGCAAACATCCAAAATGCTACTGCCTTTCATTAAATAAGCATTATCAGTGTGCTGGGAGACTTTGATCTCTGCTCGCAACCCTCTCTGCCTTATATAACTTGGAAATCACTTCCCAGAATAATTTTCCTTCAGCAGTTGCTGTTACCACCTTCTGCTGCTTTGCAGAGTTTTTGATTGCAGAGACCAGAAAGGACAAAATTTCTTTATCTTTCAGGATAAACTATTTTAGTTAAGAAAGGGCCTTGAGTGCTTAGCTGGCTGATACCTGTCCAGTCTACAGTGAAAGTGCTAAGCATCATTACGATTTGGCCTTTTAGGAGCCTCTGGCCACAGTTTACAGAGTGCCAGTGAGAACCAGTCACAGCCTGGTCAGCCTAAGCAGTCAGTGCCCAATAGATTTCCTCTCTCTGACAGAAGTGGCAGTTGCCCTCTTCATCTAACCCCTCACTATGCTGCAGATCGGTGTACCAGTGAAGTTGTTTACACAAGAATCTGCAGAGGGTGGGTTTGGTTTTTTTTTTTTGCCTGGAGCATTCTAGAAAATTCATACACACACAGCACACTGTGCACAGAGCTACAGAAGAAAAATCGGATCAAACAGCAGCTTTGATTTAGAGGCCCTAGGAGGGTGTTGATAAAAAGACTGATGAGGGCTAGAAGTAGTGGTGGGAGCGCAGGAACAGGGGCTGCCTCTGAGTACAGCTAAGTGTGGCACTGCTTTCGCAGTGCTTTGTTAGATTCCCTCTGTTCCTTTAGACTTGGAACAGTAGTGATGTGCTGCTGAGCAGAATTTAAAATTGTGTATTTATTTTAAGTTTGTATTTAGGTTTACTTAGCTTCTGCTGTTTTCTAGCAAGACCATTTGATGCTGAAGCCACCTGTATAATATACCTAGGCTATACCTACAGCTCTAGTCTGAAAGAGATGTGCTAGCGATGCAAGTCTCTGGGTCACAGTTCTGTGAATCACAGCTCAGTTCCTGTGGGAGGCAGGTATACAGGGCACTTAGACTGCAATTAATTAGCTACCTAATTGTGTACTTTGACTTTGGACTCACTATACATGACTGATGAATATCAGCTGGGATGATTTTAAAAGATCTGACAGCTTGTTATCCAGACTAGAAAGGGTGGGTGAAGCACTGCATCTTTGTGTGCATAATGAGATAACGCACTGTGTTTCTCCTTCTGTCCCTCTGCAGCCATGTGCGAGATGATCAAAATCATGCAGGAGTATGGGGAGGTGACTTGCTGTCTGGGAAGCTCTGCCAACCTGCGGAACAGCTGCCTCTTCCTGCAAAGTGATATCAGGTGGGGCAGGATCCAGACTCCTCCAGCTGCCTTTGCCTTGAGCACAGCAAGTGCCCAGCCGTGGGTCACACCAGACCGGTGCACTGTGCTCACAATTGCTCTGTCTCTTATTAGCTGTATTTGACTCCCTAAGGGAGATTTGAGTGTTATTGGACGGGATGACTTACCTACATCCCTTGACACACAGAGATATTTCTTTCTTGGATGCTGAACTACTGCACACCAGCTGGCATTACAAATGCTTCTCACTGGGTGAAAGAGTGAAAATGCCCCTCTGGATCAGCCAACTCATTGACCTTGAGCCACAAACCCAGATCTGTTCATTGTTTCTCTGGGAATAACTGGAAGTCTAGGGCAAATGATTCTAGATTCATGTTACAGCTCAGGACTTCTCTACCAGTGAGGCAGATGGAGGTGGCATGGCTCAGCACAGCACGACTTCACAGGCTGGACTGCAGTGAAACAGTTTCTCCTCTGGGATGAGTACTTCCACTGATGCTCCTGTGTTATCCTTGCAGTATAGCACTGGACCCTCTCTACCCATCTCGCTGCTCCTGGGAGACTTTTGGCTATGCCACCAGCACCACCATGACTCACATCTCTGACGAGCTCACGCCACTGCAGCTCTCAGGGCAGCTCAACAGCCTGCCTTGCTCCATGTCCTTCCGCCAAGAAGAGAGCACCAGCATCATCAGGCTCATAGAGCAGGTATGCCAGGCATGTCCCCTCTCCAGTACTCTCCCCTCTGCCTACAGCTCACAAAGCCAGGAGCACATGTGAGCATTCTTGTTGGGTTGTCCACAGTAAGCTGCCAGCATTAGCTTTGCTTGTGTCTCCTGTCCTTTGTTCACGCAGCACAATAGAGATACTCTTCCTGCCTGGCCCTGTCTGAGGTGAGGGGATGGTTTGGGAATGGTGCCTTGTGGCAGATACTGAACAGATACTGTTCAGCTAGATAAAGTATAAACTTGCAGGGATCACTAGCCAGAGAATAATACAGTGCTAGGGAGAAGTGTTACCCCAGAAAATCCAGGAGGTTTAAACAAACTTACCCTTTGGCTAAATTCTGCCTTTCCTTCACAACTTCCACATTTAGGCCAGAGACCTTACCCTTTTGCTGACAATATGTCCAGATCCTCTCCCCTCCCACTTCCCCAGCAGGCCACATGTTTTGCTCCTGCCTGCCAATAATTACTCTTGGCTGATAACTGCTCCCATCACAGCAAGGGCTCTGAGGGCTTGTGCTTCCTTCCAGGCCAGGCATGCAACCTATGGGATCCGCAAGTGTTTCCTCTTCCTGCTACAGTGCCAGCTGACCTTGGTTGTCATTCAGGTGAGTCCTGGCCTGGCTGGGGACAGCATTTAGCTCAGAGGACAGGAGTGCTCGCATGGATATGGGTAGCTGCAGTGGGGCAGCCTTGCAAGAGAGGTGGCCTTCAGTCAGGTTTATTCAGCATGTTTGGGAAAGTTAGAGACTATGTGATTTCAGCCTGCATTTCCCCTTCTCCCTGACCCTCCTACAGGGGTTTCTCTTTAAACCCTTTTTCCCCCTGGAGAAAGGCATCCCTTGTAGCACCTCTGCCAGCAGCCTGGAACACGTGGAGGGACTGTGCAGTGACAGCTAGTTACCTGCTCATGCCAGGGTTTTGGGGTAGGACAGTGGCATCTTGGGTAACAAGACTGTCCTAGCACTGCTCATGCTCTTCACTCTGGGTTGTTCCTGTCCAGTTCCTCTCCTGCCTGGTGCAGCTGCCCCCCATCCTCAGTACCACGGACATCGTGTGGCTCTCCTGTTTCTGCTACCCACTGCTCAGGTGAGTCTATCAGGGTGGAATCTCCTGCATCCCACCCACAGGATGCATAGCCCAGTCCCTCAGCCTCTGGTGTCCATGTGAAAAGAAAGCTGACATCACCCACAGCATGCTGAGGCAGCGACAAGGATTATTCCAAGCACCTCCTTTGACAGGCTGCTTAGAAACACAGATAGGAGCATTTGTGTACTGCTGTGTTAGGCCTGCCTGCTGTCAGAGCTGCTATTATCTTGTAGATTGAACCTCCAGCTGAAAATCATCTTCTAATTCTGATACTGTTGCACTGGATGGAGTGTAATGGAGAGCCTTAGGGTGTCAGGCCAAGGCACCATGGGTGGATACACTTTCCCATCACATATTTGGAGGTCACCTCTCTCCCTGTCTGCATCTGCCATGAATGACACCTTGTACAGCATATGCTTAAGGCAGTGACCAGATAAATGCCAATGTTCCAAGCAGTCTAAGGAGGATTTTTTTCAGTTCAAATGTTAGACACAGATGAAAAAGCAATAGTTGTGGTGCCTGATCTTGTTACTGAGAGACTATCTTACCTTTCTCCAGCATCTCGCTCCTGGGCAAGCCTCCTCACAGCTCCATCATGACCATGGCAACAGGAAAAAACTTGACTTCAATTCCTAAGAAAGTAAGTGGCTAGTCAGATTATAATCGTTCACACATTTTTCTTTTCTACTTTATCCCAGTGGTGATGCATAGCTGAGGCCCTGTGCCTTCCCAGCTTGCTTCATAAATTGGCCCATGGCATGAGCCATGCTCTCCAGAGCCTGGCATGGACAGAAAGGGAATCCCTTGGTGCCAGCATGCCCACAGGGCAGATCCACAGTGCAGCATCTCATCTGTACTACAGCTTGTCTTTTGCAGCCACTGATTCCCTGATGGTTCATGCAGGGGAAGCTGGGCCAGTGACATGCCCATGTCATCCTCCTGCCTCTCCCTTATTCACAGACTCAGCACTACTTCCTGTTCTGCTTCCTGCTGAAATTCAGCCTGACCATCTGCTCCTGCCTCATCTGCTTCGGGTTCACACTGCATGAGTCCTGCAAAGAGGTGAACACTACCAGCCTCAATCTCACAGCCTGCTCCTCCATCATGCTGCACAGGTGAGGAACTGAGCCTGGCACACACCCCCTCACCCTGCCAGGGCTTGTTGCTCTTGCCCTTCCCAGGTGGAACTGATTCCCGTCTAACAAGCTTCAGGCTCTTGCATGATCAGCTCTAATGGCTCCACAGAGGGCTGGGTACTCTCCCCACAGCCTTGACAGTTACATCTTTGCTCACTGTTGCCTCCTGGTACTAGGACGGCCTGGCTCCAAGTTCACACTTAGTTCTCTCAGAGAAGGATATGGCCCTGGTGGGAAGAGGTCAGGCAGTAAGTCCTCACTATTGACATTTTCCTGTGTTATCTCATTTACTAGCAATACTGATGGTGCTCCTGACTGGTTTGGAACATTTTCTAATGCTCTTCTCGTAGCCCAGAAGCTCACAGCTGGCCTGATTGTTTTACACACAGGTAAGTCCCTGTTCCCAGACCCCCATTCCACACTCTGGGGGAAAACTTGCATCCTTTGCGTCTTTCTTTACCCCCTATGCCAGAGCACAGACTCTCTGGTAGAAGCAGACACTACAGAGGTCTCTCAGCACAGGCATAAAGCCCCTTTTCTTACTAAACATTGCTATGACAGAATAAAGACCACACCTTCAGAGCTGATTCTGCTTCCTTCCAGCCTGGTGAAGCATCAGTTCTGTTCCAGTCTCACCAGAAGAGCAGCATCCCTCTTTGCCTTCTTGCAAATCAGCAAGTAGCACCCTGCATGTCTCCAAAAATATTCCCTGCCTCAAAAGTCCTTATGTGCCTGCTGCCATTTTGGGAAGCGCCCTATTTCCTTTCCCCAAAGAGCACTAGTGCAGGTGTGACTCCCCTGGAGCTGGAAGCCTTTTTAAACCCTCTGGAGGGGCAGGGAGCCAGGTCCTGGCTGACCCTCATCACCTGCACATGATTGCCTGGCAGAGTAGGTCCAGCTGCTCTCTGACAGGGTCTCTGCTCTCTTAAAGGGTTTCTGCAACCTTTCCACCATGTCATGTGGGCTGTGCCTTGGTGCCAGGCAGAGAATTGCATGTTGAGATGTGCAGGGTGTCCAGGACAGCAGAAACTCTTCCTGATTTGAGGGGCAGCCCTACTTTGGAGAGAGGTAGTTTGCATTACTGTTCTGTGTCCTTCAGACCACTGAGGCTAGGCATGGGTGCTCCTGCCTGGTAGGTGGGAAATGCTGCTTTGAAGAGCCCAGACAAAATCTGAGCAAATGTTCTGTCTTGTGCAGACAGCTCTGGGTCTTTGGATAAATATCCTTCTCTAGGCTGGAGTTTTCCACTGCTGCAGGCCTGCAGTGAGCCAGAGACAAGACCACCGCGATCCCACCCCCCAACTCCCTGGTTCTGGTCCTTTGCCTGATCTGTTTTAGCATGCCAGGCTGCAAACCAGCCTTGGCATCCCCAGAGTGAGTAATCCTGTGCAGTACTACTGCTGTATTCCCCCTTACCCTGTGTACCTGGAGACTTGGAATTGCTGTGGGGTCTGGCCTGAAAGGTTGGTTTCAGGGACATAAACCCCATATCCCTTGGAGCAGTAGTTGTTGGTGTAAAGTGTTGTATTTCTGTGTGATGCTAAATAACCCCCTCTTCCATCTGTTCCCCACAGTGTTCATATCGATCACCCATGTCCACCGCACCAAGCCGCTGTGGAAGAAGAGTCCCCTTTCCAACCGGTGGTGGACACTCACTGTGGCTGTTGTGTGAGTATCCCCAGGCCCTGATGGGGCACCCCAGAATGCTGGAGGAAGGAGGGCTCTAGACCTGCTTCAGCACTAGCTTGCTGGTGCTGAGAAAATGATAGTACCTGGCAGTTGTTTTCCACTGCTCAATTGGCGAGGGGTCTCTGTTGTGAACTCTGTTGTGACCCCTGATCTGCAGATCCTGGGAAGCTTGTGAGCTCTGCTGAGATTTGCTGTGTCTGTTTATGGTCTTAGATTGCTGGGGCAAGTGGCACAGACTGTGCTGGACCTGAAACTCTGGGAAAACCTCCATTCTTCCTTGACCTTTAACCATGTTTCCATCTCCCCGGTCTCATGGCTCCTGGGTTTTCTTTCCTTGGTCCTTGTGGTTATCATCAATGAGATTGTCAAGCTGCATGAAATCAGGTATGGGGGTAGTTGGGAAGATGGGGAGAAAGGGCTGGAGCCTCCAGCCTGGCCTTGAGCTACAGAAAAATGATGCACAGGGAACAGGGTGGGGAATAAAAAGGAAAAGATGATTGCATTGTGTAAGTCACCTGGCTATTGTGTGCAAGCTCATGCTCCACCTCTCAGGGAGGAAGTGCAGGGGAGGAAGGAGGGTCAGGGAAGGGCAGTGGCAGTGATTGGGAGCAGGAAGGGAGACCAAAATTTCCTTATCTCAAACCAATGGGAGGGAGACAGCCAAGGTCTCTGAAATACCAGTGTGGAATCGGAGAGGGCTGTTCTCTCCATCTCGTCCCATGAGGACAGAGAGGCATTGAATCACAGCAGAGGAAATACGTCTTCACACAGTGCCTGGACTGTGGGACTCATTTTCACGGGAAGTGGCTGAAGCCAAGAATTAGTAGCAGGCAAAGTGAGTGGCTGTTCTTACTAGCACAGGGAGCAGCCAGAGCTGGGAGTTAACGCTAATGAGCACTGATGCAGGAAATGGGTTGGTGAGGAAAAGCAGAGGGGAATAGAGGGAACCTGATGGGGACAGAGCCACTGTCTCTGTTCCTGGGAAAGATTTCTGGACATCTTTCTGCTGTGTCTGGTGGTCCTGGAGATGGGACTTGGCTGGATGGGGTAGGACTGAGACCACGGGTTGCTCTCTGGGTCTGATCCCATCACAGGGCTCAGGCCAGGGGCTTCCCTGCTCCTTGGGGCTGTGCAGCTCAGGAATTGCAGTGAGGCAGCCTTGCCTTTCACTCCTCCACATGCTGACTCTTTTCTTTCTTCTGCCTTCTCCAGGGTCCGGGTCCGTTACCAAAAGAGGCAGAAGTTGCAGTTTGAAACGAAGCTGGGAATGAATTCACCATTTTAAACACTCCCAGCTCAAGTTCCCTGGAGCCAGGGCCACACAACCACATCCTGCACTGGGAGAGTGGCTGCACCAAAGGCTCGGGGTGTTTTCCCCCACACATGCAAACCAGACAGCCTCCTCACAAAACTACATCAGCACCTTCCAGGGGCAGGGCACTGCTATCAGGATCCCCCAGCAGGTATGCAGCCCCCACCCAGCCTGCTAGGGTACTCTCCAGGGAGCCTGCAAGCTTGGGTGGCTGTTCAGGCTGCTTTTCCTTTATTTATTTATTAATAGAGGTTTTTGTTAGTGTCATGGTGAAGCTGAAATGAAGCGAATCCTTCCCTCTGTGCGAGCAGATGGGTTTCCTGGACCTAGCAGGAGAATCTGAGGCCAGCATGGGAGACATAGGGCTACTGAAGCAGGAGATTTCTATCAAAACCCATTTTGTTTTTCCATCTCTGCGTGCTCTCCTGGATGATGTGTGTGTGCATGCCTGTGCGTGCCCTCGCCCACCTCCCCGTCCCTGTGTCCTGGGGCAAAGGAGCCATCTCTTTTGCAGCTGCAGGAGCGCTGGGTGCCAGGTGAGGACTGGAGCTCACATTCCCGAGGAGACAGTAGGAAAGGTCTCTGGCAGGGTGCTGGGAAGGCCCCTGCGATGGCTAGGCTGGGCCAGGCCTGCCCTCTAGCGTTATTGCTGTAGCTATATGCCGGCTGGTGAGTTCTTCGCGAGGAGAGGAGAGGGATAGGGCTTTAAGAAAAGCTGCCTGCATTCGACCCTAGTGATCTGGTGCAGAGGGAGTCAGGAGGGCAGTTCTGCCTGCCTGCAGGGAGTCAGAAGGACTCAGCTTCCTCCAGCCCTACTGAGCCAGCTCTTACCTGCTTTAACAACCCCCAGAGAGGTTTATAACTGTCCTCATTCTTGTGATTCAAATTGCCATTCTGCTTCAGTAAAATGCCTGCTTGAGAGGGCCGTAGCTAAACCTGAGACCTGCCTATCCTGCCATGGAGGGAAGGGGATGTCTTTCTGAGCAGGATGTCGACATCTTGCAGTTGTGACTAACATGGAGCTGGTGGACGGCTCCTTTCCCAGTCCTAGATCATACTGCAGCTGGTGTTTGCTCTCCAAGGTACAGGAAAACCCCTCTCATCACATCTTTCTGTGATCATGTTTGGAAGTCTCTCCCCTCCATGCTGCTGCCCTCACGTGTGTTCTCTGTTTTTCTGGAGGTCTCTTCTTCATTTGACTGGGGGAAACCTTCCCCTGAGGGCTACTGCAAACCATGATTTGCCCCAGTGCAGCACAAATGCTCTTGAGCTCTGAACAGACCCCAGCTGTACTAGGAACACTGGTGCTGTTGTGAGCTGACAGTTGAGGGCCACACAGAAGCACACAGGCTTGGCTACCAAAGTATTTGCAGCTCATGGAGATGTTTACTACCTTCCTAGTTCTAAAAAGTATCTAAAAGCTGGTAAAGCCTGGCACTGTTTTTCTCCCAATATTAACACTAAGCTGTTACTTCCCCTTTGGTACCTGAGATTAACAAATGGCTGCTGGTCCCTCCCTGGCTGGCAGGGAGCTGGCTGGGAATCCCCAAGCTCTGCCCTGTTGCTCTACCTTGTCTTCCTTTGATTGCAGCACTGCGTGTCTCTAAGCAATATCCTTATCCCTGCTGTGGATCTGGTAGAGAGCAAAGCAGGGGTACAGCCAGCCTCTGAGCTCTGGGGACAGGGGCCAGCTGGGGGTGTTCAGAGGCTCAGACCCTGTTCCTACAGCTGGAGAGTGGATGTTCAGATTCCCTGCTGCTGGCAGGATTGCATGGGACGGAGCCAGCAGCTCACTGGGGAAACACAGGGCTGCTCTCCTGCAAAGCAGTGGTACCAGGCCCTTCCTGCTTGCAGAGCGGGTCTGCTCACCTCTGCCAGACCTCTGCCAGCGAGTGAAGCTCTGCCCTCACTCCTCTTGGGCCTGCAGAGCTGCCTGGCTCAGGGAGAACAAGCTGCATCTTTCTCATCTGACTTAATTCACTGTATGCCAGCTCCAGACCTGTTACCCTGGCACCTGCAAAATCAGCTTTTCTCTCTGAAGGTGGGGTATGGTCTTCTCTGAGCTGGAGTCAGAGGCAGCACCGAGCTGCTCACTGCTATTCCTGCAGAGCAACCTTCCCCCCCCACCCCCCGACCTTAGCTCTTGCCCTGTGCCACTAAGGTGTAGGTGATAAAAGGCAGCAGATACCAGGGCTTCCTGCTGGCCACACCTTCCTCTAGAGCAGGCACCTCCACGGTTTCCTTCTCTGGGTGACCACTAATGTTTATTTTCCTGCACCCTCCTTACCCTGCTAGACTTGGAGGGAGCCAAGGTGTATGATGGAGCCTTTTGGATGGTCTCGCCAATGCCACCCTTCCCTCGGCCATTGAGGTATCCGAGGGTCAGGGTGCACGGCTTCAGAAAGAAATTTCCTACATCAAGATGTTTTTAAATGGTGTATATTTTATATTAAATTTTTGGGATGTATGTAAAAATACTTGATTTGTATTAAAATTGTAAATTGTTTTAAAAAAAACCCAAACCCAGACCCACACCATCCAGTGTATGAACGGCAATAAATGATTGTCTTGGATAACACACACAGTGAGAGTGGGAGGGAGTTTGCACCCAGCAAAGCAAGGAGATCGAAGTGTGTGTGGCTGTTTGTGTCATAGGACCCGAGTTACCCAGTTCACCTGTTGTAGGGACACAGCCTGAGAGCTTGATGCTCCTGGGACCTGATCCTGGCACTTTTTTTCCCCACTTTCTGCTCAGCTTTGGGCAAACTGTCCAGCTCTGAATGCCTGTTTCTACAGAACAGTCTGCTTACCTGGTGGTATCCTGGGCCCCAGGCACAGCACCCGTGGTTGTTCCCAGGCACCGCTTTGGTCATGGCTGGCAGCATGGTTTGAAGCCTCTGGATGAAAGGCTGGGGCGAGGCGGAACAGGCGCTGCGAGCACTGGAGAGAAGCAGTGTGGTGAGACGAGGAGGCCTGGGCTTCTTGTTCCGAGCAAAGCAGGACCTGGTGTCAGCAGGGAGGATGGAGGAGTGCTTCGCCTGGCAGGTGGGAGTAGCTGAGGCTTCAGACGTGCCCAAAGCTGGGCACTGGAAGGTAGTGTTGGTCCCCAGCGCTCTCACCACCTTCCTGCCATGGTGGTAAGACCCAAACTGAACATTAACCTCGCTGGAGGTGGCCGTGGGACCCTTGCCAGGAGAGATTATCTGAGGAAACCCAGGTTTTAAGCACTTGAGGGGCAGGGTAAAGCTGATCCTCAGTGAACTTCAGAGTAGGAGACAAGCTTGTGTGATTTGACACGAAGGACACAACTAGGCAAAACTATCAAAAGGGTAAAATATGCCCCGCTGTTTAATAATTTTAGTCTTAATGGATGTTAGTGGAAAAACAAAACACATGATTAACACAAACAGAGCAGATGGTTTAAAATCTGTTGTCAGTCTGGTGATTACATGGGCTAATTTTTTCCCTCACTGTCTTGCTGCACAGAGCAGGTGCAGCTGGGATCAGTTAGTCCCAGTTGCAGTGTACATAACTTACACACCATACAGTAGCTTCAAAATAGAGATCTAGAGCTTAAAAAATAGGCATTCTTCTGCAAAATCAAATGTTTTAATTCCCTTATTGACAACGAGAGCAGCGTGGTGCTGCCCTCAGGTGGCTCAGACAGCAACAGCTCCACCCCAGTGTCCTCTTATCCCTGACTCTAGAGTACAAGACTTGCAATTCTGGTTAGTAAATATATATAATAAATCACATTTAAAATATATACATTGGCCTTTAAAAAAAAAACCATTTACAGTTTATCAACATTGGAAAAAAATAACTGGGCTTGTCCCAGGTTGACTCAGAGTAAAAATCAGTTTTAAAAGGTTTCTGCAAACCTTTTGATAAAGTGCCACCGGTTGTAGCTATTTAAAAACAATCGGGTCCATGACGTAGCACTTGCCTGTCAGACACAGTCATTTAAATACACTCAATGTGATATATATATCAGAGCAACCAACTAGCCAGGAGAGAAGCGTCTTAACTGCCTCAAACTGACCTCAAGTCCCAGCCAACGACATGTTTGTTTTTTTTTTTCCCCCAGGGCTTGTTCATCTTGCTTTTCAGCCTAGAAGCCAGGCTGGCACCTCCCGCCTGTGAGTGAGACCCTGGCGAAGGTCGGGCGGGCTCTGTGCGCAGGGGCTGCTCCCCCAGCCCTGCAAGGGGACGAGGGGCTGCCAACAGACCAATTCAGTCACAAACTCCCAAAAGAATTGGGAAGCACCTGCCTCTTCAGCCACCTCCCTCTCCAGTTAGGTTTTATGTTGATTTTTTAAGAAGGGGGGGACATGTGGAAACTTTTTTTCCTTTGTTTGCAATTTTTGTAGCAAATGGCAGTTTAGTACAGTCTTAGGTTCCCTTCTGGTGCTCTGATGCTTTCATTTGCTTGGCATGCCGAGTGCAAGCCAAGTTCGGGGCTCTTGGACATATTTAGACATGCACTACTAAACAGATCCTGCAAGAGAAATCTGTCTTCAAGCTATGCAGCCGCTCCTACTGCTTGGATGCGAGGAGCTATCGCCACTGCTCCCCCGCTGCAGCCACGGGGCTGTGACTGCATCCAGCCGGGTGCACAGTAGCTGCTGCCGAGCTGGATTCACCCAGTGCACGCGGGGTCACGCTCCCGCCGGCTCGGAGGGCTGCAAGGAAGCATCTCACCGAGTCCCAAACGCTGCTACTGCTTAACAATGCTCACAGCGGAGTTTGTGCCAGCAGGGAGGGGGAGTGGGAAAAGGGACCATTTTCTCCCCCAAAAAAGGGATAGGGAAGGTTAAAAAAAAAAAAAAAAAAATCCCACAGGAAAAAAGCACTAACCACGCTACTACTTCACCCTGGCAGCACCAGGGTGGTGGCTTGTGTAGGCACCGTGTCGGCAGAGGGCAGCCTCCATTTAGTAACATGATCCAGCCAGCCTGGCACAAATGCCCAGGCCTTCGGCGCTGCCATCACCATCCTCATGGCTGGGGAGGGGGCAGGCAGAGCTCCATGTCCAGCAGGGCTGTGGTGGAGCATCCGCTGCTTCGCAGGCTGTGCCAGCCCCGTCTCGCGTTTGTGGGTCCCACCGGAGGGATTTCGATCCACTTGGATTACACGCTGCCTGACGCTAACGCGTTTGGAAAAGCAACAAATAAAGCAGAAAGGTTCCTTCTCGCTCCGCAAGCTGCCAAATTGCGACAAGCCCTGTCTTCTTTTAGCTGCTGTCAGGCCTTGCTGGGGCTGGGATCTGCTCAGTAAATAGCCAGCTCGGTGGCGGCTGCCCGGGGAGGTCTCTCCTTTGACACATTGTTGGCAGGGGATAAATAATAAGAGGCAGGACTCAGCAATGCAGCAGGGAAAGAGAAAGGTCCCTTGTGGAGGCTCCTCAGCTCTGTGCAAGGGAGTGAGGGCTTCTCCGCGGCCACCAGGACTGCCTGTGCAGCCCCTCTGGGCTCTCCTCCTGCTGCCAGTCTGGTGGGAAACGCCTGACCCCCTCGGAAACCAGCCCGCAGCCACGCTGGCACGTGTGGTACGGAGCCAGGAGCGAGCAAGGAGGGGCGGCTGCGTTCCCAGCCGCAGTGCAAAGTGCGGGGAGGGAGGCGGCTGGAGAGACCTGGAGGTACCGCTCGGTGCCAGGTCCACTCTCCCCCCGTCACGACGGGCACTGGCGGAGCAGCCGGAGGCGGGGAGGGGAAGGAGGGAGCAAGTCTCAGTCCAGCATCGCGTCCAGCTGGTCCGCCAGGTCATCAAACATGTTGCTGATGTCTTCCAGGATGTTCTTGGCTGAATGCACGGCCCCGGGGTGGCTGGGGAGGAAAGGGAGAGCCGGTCAATGCACTGCCCGAAGGCTTCATGTGCTGATGGGGCAGGGTTGGCCAGGCTGGACCCAACCCTCGCGGAGCTCAGCACGCAGCCAGACCCAAGCACGTGTGAGCTGCTGTGGTGCAGGCGGGTGCCCTTGCACAGCCCTTCGCCTGCCCTCTCCTGGGGCTTCCCAATTCCGCCTCGAATTCCAGCCCAGCATCTCCCTCACCACCCCCCGCTGCCTCACCTCTCCGCCTCCTCCACCGTGATCTTCTTCTCGGCCACCTGTAGCGCAGCAGCCAGGGTGGAGTTGGTCTGCTCCAGCCGCTGCTGGACCAGGGCGGCGCCCGGGGCAGTTGCCAAAGGCTTGGCCAACACCTTGCCCGCCTCCAGCGCCAGTGAGCCAGGACCGGCCAGGGACCCGATCACATCTGGCACCGCCTCAGTGGCCGCCCAGGGAGCAACGGTGTGGCGGGAGGGCTGCAGGACCTGCTGGTAGATGGTTTTGGGCCCGGAGAAGACTAGCTTGGTGGATGCCACAGAGGTGTGCTTGGCAGGGACATCTGCAAAGGAAAGGCACTCGTGGCACGTGGTGGCCCACATCCTCCTTGCCTCCTTCCAGAGGCTCCACCACCACCTGGGAGACACCCCCACCAGCCCATGTACCTGGAGCGGGCGTCCTCACCACGGCGGTGCCGAGCAGCTCCGTGGGGCTGGGGGCTTTCGTGGGACTCGGTGCCTTCTTGATTCCCTTCTCCAGAGACAAGATGCTTTTCTCTATCTCAGCAATCCTGAACTCCACACTGTCGTCGTCAAAGGCATCCCCGGCCATCCCGGCTCGTGGTGCTGGTGCCGGCACGGCGGGGCCCGCGATGCTCACTGCTTGGGCCTGGGCATACTGGGGTGCTGGGCTGGCCCCTGCTTCATCCTGCCCTGCCATGCTGAACGCCTTCAGCACCGCCTGCAGCGGCTCCCGCTCCCTGAAGCGGGGCCGGCGCTTCACCGTGTCCGACTCAGTGAGGTTGAACTCCAGCACAGGCAGCTCCTTGGCAGCAGTGGGCAGAGCTGGTTCCTTCCCAGTGGAGCAGGGGGGCTCCACTGGCTGGGAACTGGGCTCTGTGTCCAGTACAGCTGTGTCAGCCTTGGGGTGCCCCGTGGGCTTTGGCCGCTGTTTGATGGTTAAGTTGCCTTCTTCTGCAAAGGGGATGCACTCACTGGAGCTGTTCTGGGAGGATGAGGAGGAGACCCCTGGCTTGGACTCCTCCTCCGTGTCTGAGCAGGCGTCCTCCCGCCCACCCTGTGCGGCCACCTCTGTCATGGGAGCGCTGGGCTCACTGAATGTCCGTCTCCGTGGCTTGCTGCTCTCGAAGGGGTCCCTGCTGGCATCAGAAAGCGTGCTGCTGCTGCTGTCACCACCATCATAGGACTCATCATCCACATCTGCCCTGGGGAGACAGTCCTGAGCCACGTGCAGGGGTTTTGGGGCCAGGAGGGGCTTGGGTGGACTCGCCCCCGGGGTCCCCTCTAGCGCAGCCGCCAGGCTCTTCACCGTCCTGCCGCAGCCGGTGTCACCAGGGCTGGCGACCGTGTCGGCCACATCCTGGGGGGCTGCGGGCTGCCGCTCAGGGTCAGGGGGCTGCTCGCCGTCTGCCTCAGCAGCGAGGGCACTGGAGACGGAGCTGAGGCGCTTGGGAGGCGGCGGCGGAGGGCCCTTGCGCTTGGCCCGGATGGCAAAGGACTGGCTGCGGGTCACCTTGGCATCCGCCTGCACACAGGCCCGCGGCATCTGGCTGCGGCCCGGCCGCCGCGTCAGGGTGGCGTAGGAGCCCAGGGTGCTGGTGGGCACCCCCTCCTCCTCCTCGTGCTCCCCGTCCGACAGCGCGTAGCGGTTCAGGCTGTGTGAACGCTTCTTGTACTTGAAGCCTTCACCCCCGCTGTGCTGCTCCCCGGCCTGCCAGGCGCCTGGCGCCGCCCCAGCTGTGGGTGACGTGGCGGGCGGCTCTGTGGGGCCACACTGGCTGTGCAGATAGTTGAAGGCTTTTTGGGCCGACGTCTGCAGACTGCTCTTCTGTCCAGGGGAGATGGAGGGGTACGGGTGTGCCAGGGTCTTGGGCTGCTCTGCTCCCAGGAGGGAAGGGACCGTCGGGGATTTCAAGGAGACATGTGGGTACATGAAGACGTATGGGGCTGTTGCTTTGCTGGGGGTCTGGGGAGGAGTACAGGGGGTGACTGCTGGTGTCCCGGCACCTTTCTGAGCTGCCGGCCGGGCATACTGATCCGTGCCTTCGGGCAGGTTCCTCTCCTTGAGAGGGCTGCCCCCGCCGCCGTTGGCATAGCCGTTCAGGCCCTCAGGGGAGACGAGCTTCCCGTAGGGCTCAGGACTGGGCTGTCCCGGCAGGCTGGCCGGGCTCTCCTTGCTGCGGGGCGGTACGCAGGACTGCCCACTGCTGCTGCTGCTCTCCCCGCTGCCCAGGCTCTCCTGCGAGGGGCTGGAGAGGTGCCGGGACAGCACATTGTCCTGCGAGTGCCCTGAGCCCCGGGACCGCACCCCGATGCTCTCCTGGCTCCGTGACATCCCTTGGCTGCTCTTGATGCCGAGCGTCTCGTGGCAGCTGTTGGACATGGCTGTCTGGAGCTCGTAGCTGAGCTCACTGTCCTGGAAGGTCATCATTTTGGGGGTGTGTGGGGACTGGCACTCCCCATTCTCCAGTGACTCGATGGTGACAATGTCCAGGGCACCGGGGACTTTGCGTCTTGCCAGAGTTGCTTCTGCTTGGTTGAGGCTTTTGCGGAGGTCTCTGAGCTTCTTGACAGCCAACATGATCTTCTTCTGGTGGCCTGCGGGAAGGTTGCAACACGAAAGGGGCATTAGGTCAGCGCTGGCCCCCAAGGCCTTTGTTTCCTGGCCAGGAAGAGTCATGCTCACGTCACCAACTGGGGCAAAGGCCTCCAGGTTATTTAAACCCTGCCTATGGGAGGACGCAAACTACAACCAGCTCAGCCCGGCCTCAGCACGCCAAGGGGAGGCCCTAGGGACAGCCACAAACTGCCCTTTCCAGGTGGCTCAGGATATGCCTTCACCTCCCAGCCTGAGGGAGAATGGGGCATGGGGACCCTGGTGGGAAACTTGGCTGCCCTGGGCCACCCCAGCATGGCAGCAGGACTCACCCAGCTTGTTGATGCCGATCTCTTGCAGATCCTCCCATGTCAGGTCTGTGACAATGGTGATGGAGTCATAGCCATTGTTCACCAGCTTTTTGTGGTACTGGGGCAATCCGATGGCACTGAGCCAGTCCATCAGGTCAGCCTGCAAAGAGCACGGAGACGCTGCCATGAGCACCGAGGCATGGGCAGCACCTTCATCCATCCCCACCCTGCCCCTGGCCAGGACACTGCATTTTTGGGGTCTCTCTGACTGCATTACCACAGGCCACTGCAGCAAATATTTACTTACAGACCCTGCTCCTATCCTGTGCTGGGGTAAAGACAACTCTGAGAAAAAACCTGGCAGAAAGAGGGTGCTGAACAAAAGCCCCGGTGCCAGGGACTCACCGGGATGTAGTTGGGCAGCCACTCGGCGATGCTGAGCTGCCCGATCTCGGTGGAGATCTTCTTCCTGTGGCCCGGCTTGGTCACGCCGATGGCTGTCAGATCCTAATGCGAGTAGAGCGGGGCTGTGGTCAGTGGGGGCCCGGGGAGCACGGGGCAGTGGGCACCTGCAGCCAGCAGCTCAGGGCTGGCCGAGGTGGGGAAGGACCCGCCTTACCTCCGGGGTCATGCGGCTGATGGTGGGGACGTCGTAGCCTGCGTTGAGGAAGTTGGCAGTGTACGACTCCAGCTGGAACTCACTCAGCCAGTTGTAAATGGCTTCTGCGTCCTGGGGAGAGGTCGGGGCAAAGAGCAGCCTGTGACGGTGGCTGCAGGGACCTGGCTGCTCCAGGCAAAATGACAGGATTTCCTTGGGCCCACCTGTGCCCAGTGTCCTCAAGACCCAGTCCCCTGTGTCCCCAGTGCAGCAAGAGCTGGGCTGAGAGCCCACATGTGTCCCTCTCACCCAGCACACCAGGTTCCCAGTTGGCCCAGTTACCTTCCCCTCGAGGAGCTGCTCAGGCCGCAAGAACTGGTGGGAGAAGACCCTGTCTCCAGGGGGGAAGCTGCCTGGGGCCTGGTGGCTCGGTGGCCCTGGCAGAGAGGACAGAAGAGAACCGTCACGGAGGCACTCGAGCAGGGAGCAGCCCCCCCCAGGGCCAGGGAGACAGCTGTCCCCAAGGCCCCATGGAGCTGGGACATCCCTCACCTGCTGGGGAGGTCAACTGCCCATTGTGCGGCTCCGATCCCAAAAGGTGTTGCTGGAGGTTGTCGCTGGCGGAGGGCAGCGGCTGGGGGAGAGGAGGAGTGAGTGGAGGAGGGAGACAAGCCCCATTGCACCCCCAGGAGTGAAGCTGGGGTCTCCGTGATGGGCTGCTGGGCACAGCTTCAGCCAGTGAAGGGCTGGCCCCTAGGAAGAGATCTGGGCAGGATTTGGCCTAGGGCCCTTTTTCTCCTCTCAGATGCCGCAGGACATGATGGAGATGCTGTGTGGTACCAACCACAGCCTCCAGCTCCTCTCAAAAAGGCCAACTGTGCTATGGGGGGCAACTGGGGACCCCCCAGGAACATCTCTCCGCTGAGTCCTGACAGCAAATGGGTGTTTGGTGGAAGATGCTCAGCTCCTGCAGCCCCTCCGAGTGCAGGGGTTACAGGGAGGGTGCTGGGGCTCCCTCCCCAGCCTGAGCCACGGCTGGGGGAGCAGCATGGGGGAAGCAGGGGCTGGCACCTACCCTGGTGTTCTCGATGAGGATGCTGGTGCTCTGCCCGTTGGTGCCCTCGGTGCTTTGGCCGCTGCCGGCACTGCGGATGCTCCCGATGCTGCCCTCGCTGCCCACACTGTTCCTGTCTCCTGCTGCTTGGGGCAGGTGGGGAGGTCGTCAGCAGCGCCCCGGGATCGGGGCTGACACCAGGCACAGAGGCCCCTGACAGGGACTCGTGTGCCAGCACAGTGATGCCAGTAAAAAACAGCCTCCCACAAGACCCCTCCGGCCACAAGATGATGCATCGGTCCCTCCCACCTCCCGACACACACAGCACAGACAGGGTGACCTCGGCTGGCAAGGGACACACCAAGGGGACGTGGGGACGCGAATGATCAGGGACACGGGGAGGGAAAGGGCTGCTCTACAGGCTCGCCTAAACTCCCTTTCCCTGCGCCTGCTCCCGCTCATCTGGCTGCTTCCCCGCCGGGAGATGGAAGGAGAGTCTCCCCCCGTGTCCCCCTGCACAGGCAGGGCTGGGAACAGGGGAAGGTCCCCAGCCCCTCTCCCTCCCCAGCTGCACCCCTGACCTGAGCTGTCAGGGCCCGGGGCCGTCCGGGTTAGGGTGAGGTGGCCATAGGCCGCTGGGATGCTCGGGGCTGCCTGGTGAGGACACTCGTCGGGGAGGTGCTGCAGCCCGCCGGGGGGGCCAGGAGGGCCCCGGGGGGACCCTGGCGCTGGTGCGCGGGTGCCACGCGGGGGACAACCATGCCTGCATTCAAAGACAAAACACGCGTGGTCAGAGCTCGTGCAGGAGGCAGCGGGGGGGCGATATCTGAGCCTCAACTCCCAAATTACCCCCCCACCGATGCCCACCCGAGTCCTTCTCTTCCCCGCTAGCTAGCCAGGGCTGCGGGGACCTGTCCTACAGGAGGGGCTGGGATGGTTTCATACAGGGGACTGTCCCCAGCATGCGGAGGATGGCCACTGACCTGTTCGCTTGCTGATGACTTCAGCGATGGAGGGGGGGAAGTACCCGACGCGGTCAGTGCCTTTCTGAGCGTCGTGGATGTGCCCCTTCCATCGCCCATCTGGATGTTGCTCCAGGACCTGCCGTGGGGACGAGAGGGACAGGGTTGGTACCTGGGATGGTGGCAGGGCTGGAGGACAGGGAGCAGGGAGTAGCCTCACCGTGATGACATCTCCTGCCCGGACATTGAGAGCAGTTGGGTCGTGGAGGTTCCAAAAATCCTTCAAAGCTCGGACCTTCAGGATTCCTGATGCCTCTGAAGACAAGGGACAGAGGAAAGAAAGAAGGTGCCAGAGTACAGAGAGGAAAAAGAGCGGTTCAGGGAAGGCAGAGGGAGAAAACAAGAGTGAGGAGAGGGGAGAAGAAAACATTAATACTGCAGGAAGGACTCAGTCCCTGGACATCATCCACATGGAGGATGGGGGCACATCTGACGGGACTGGGACGCTGACACTGAGAGGCTGTTCAGGAGCACTGGGAGCCCCAGTCAGGTCCCAGGGGGAAGGAGCCCCTCTCAGTGGCAGGCAGTGCCCAGCTGCGTGCTGACCCCACCTCACCTCTCAGCAGCTGCTTGATGTCCTTGCTGGCGTGCGAGGTGGTGAACTGGTTCACGATGTCCAGTGCCGTCTGGTTGTAGGTATTCCTGATGTTCACATCAACGCCGCCCTGCCCGCGAGGGGACATGGTCATGGCCAGACCCCACACCTGCTGCCAGACCCACGGGAGACAGAGGGACCAAGGGGAAGGGGGTGATGGCTGACCCCCAGGGCCCTGTCCCCACCACGCTCACCTCCAGCAGCAACCGTACCACCTCCGTTTTGCCGTAGAGCGCAGCCTCGTGCAGGGCTGTGCCTGTCTTCGTCTGCTTGTTGATCTCGATCCCAGCCTTCAGCAGCTGCCTGGAGGAAGGAGGGAGAGGCATGAACGATAGGACATGCATATCAGGGCCAGGCGATGGGCTGCTCTGCGATGGGGACAGCCCCTTGCACCACTGAGGCTTTGGGGACAAGACACTGAAGCCTGCACAGCAGGGAGATGGGTTTGGAAGGAAGCGGGACTGAAGCCGTGATGGGTTTTTCCAGGATAGGGCAGTGCCCCTTGGCAGGGGGTTACCTGATGATCTCCTTGTGCCCGTTCTTGGCTGCCAGGTGCAGCGGGGTGGTGTAGTTGGGGTCGGTGGCATCCTTGGACTGTCCCTCCAGGAGGGCGACACACAGATGGCTGTTCAGCAGCAGCTGGGCCACCTGCAGGGGGCACAGGGGTGAGCAGTGGGGTGCTGGTACCCCCTGCTGCACCCTCCCAGCAAGGGGCTCTCCCTTGGGGCCAGCCCTCTGCTCCCCATCCCACCGCTTCCCTCCATCTGCAGCCCCAGGGCTCGGCCGGAGCCGGTCAGTGCTTGGCAGGGCCACACTGCTGCAAGGGGCTGTAAAAGGTCACAACAGCCAGAAATAGTCTTCCCATAATCGGGCTTTTCAGACCAAGTCCTAAAACACTCCAGTCTCTCCAAGCCCAGAGCGACTCTCAGCATCTCAGGGCAGACCAGAGGCACAGAGGAGTTATTTTTACTGCCCTGTTTATAGCTGCAGACATTATAGATACTCCAAAAATGGAAATATCCCCTGGCCCCCTCCCCGGTGGGGCATGGGACGGTCTGGCTGGCCACAATCCAGCCCAGCCTGGCGGTGTGATAGAGGCTGGGCCGGGGTCTCCCAGAGCATGGGGTGGCCCTGTCCCCACGAGCTGTGCTGAGGACCTCGAGCAGCCAAGTGGGGCCAGGCACTCAGGGCTTGTGGGGATTAGCCAGCTCAGCCTATCTGTGCTTAAATGGGAGCAAAGCTGGGCTGGGCAGGGGGAGGCTGCAGGGTACAGGGAGCGTGGACTCCTGGCTTCTCTCCCAGCATGACGCTGCCCTGCTGTGAGGTCAAGAACTGCTCCCAGGTTCAGGATCCAACCTTGCCCGGTTGTGGGATGAGGCAGGTGCTACCTGCCAAGCTGTGAGAGTCATGGAGGAGGGAGAGTGGTCACAGATGGACCCATCGCTTTGCTTCCAGAGCAGCCAGCCAGCTCCAGAGCTGCCCCTGAGAAGTGCCCGGTGCAGAGCAGAGCACCCCAGCCCTCACCTTCAGCCGCCCAAACTCGCAGGCCAGGTCCAGGGGGGTTTTCTTCGCCTTGTTGATGAGGCAGGGGTTGGACTGGTGCTGGAGCAGCATCTCCGACTGCGGGGGAGCAATGTGGTACAGGGGCTCAGCATCATCCCGCACCCCTGCCTCCCTCCTGCCTGGCACGATGGGGTTTGCCCCCACCTGTGCACCCCAGAGAGACACGGGGTGGTGCTGGGCTCTCACTTACCACCTCGTAGTGGCCGTACTGTGCCGAGAGGTGCAGCGGGATCTGCCCATCCAGCGAGGCCATATTGACGGAGGCAGCAGCACGCAGCAGCACCCGCACTGGCTCCACGCGCCCCTGCCAGGCCGCGTAGTGCAAGGGCCGCATCCCTAGGGGGGAAGCAGGGCTTAGCAGGGCTGGATGCGGCCCCTGGCCTCACTCAGAGGGCTGAGCCAGCTGCCGGAGGCACGGGGGCATGCCAGAGGGTCACCCCTTACCATTGCTGTCCTTGATGTCGACGGTGGCCTGTGCCTCCAGCAGCAGCGAGATGAGGTCCAGGCTGCCGCCCAGGGCTGCGTGGTGCAGCGCCGAGAACCTGCAACACAAGGCAGGGCTCAGCCCAGCCCTGGCACCCACCATGCTGTCCCTACAGCTCCTGCCTGCGCAGCGATGTGCACCGAGGGCTGGGGTGGTCACTGGCTGTTCCTGGCTACGTCCTTCCTGATTCCCCACTCCCAGTGCCTCAGTTTCCCCATAGCAAAGCAGAGATCAATCTCTCCATGCTGTCCATACCCCAGGGCTCAGCAGGGGATGAAGGGACCCTGTGCAAGCCCTGAGACCTCAGTGAGATGGGTCCCTCACAGCCCTGCCCTGTGCAGAGGGCAAGCAGACGGGATGGAGAGTTGCATCTCCCCTCTTTGCGGTGCAGCCATGCAGCCTGAAGCTGTGCTGCTCACAGCAAACACACCGGCCCAGAGGCTACTCCTGGCCCCTCCACCAGCCGCCCCCTCCCCATGCCAGCAGGGATGATGGGAGCCCACGGCGCAGTGTGGGAGGCCGCTGGTAATGAAAGAGCCCTGTGTCTCGGGCTGTGAAAAGGGCCTGTCTGCCCAGCTCTCCCCCCGTGCTGTCACGTGAAGGGCCACGGCCGAGGGAGAGGTCCCTGTGCCGCCAGGGATTAGCCCGTGTGCTGCTCCAAGGGGCATGGGGGTCTCCAGGCGGTGCTGGCCCAGGGCTCCAACGGGCTCAGCAGGATCCCAGCCCTGTGCCGGGGCCGCAGCTCGGCCAGCCTGGCTCTCTTCCCAGACTGCAGTCCCAGAGCACCCCCAAATCCCTGTGCAGTCTCTGGGCATGGCAGGAGGGATGCTAACCCCAGCAGAGAGGGCTGCCCCTTCCTTCAATGCAGCCACCACGTCCCCGATGCCAAAACCTCTGCCTCAAAGCGAGAATGCAGGAGGTACAAAAACCTCCTCCGCTCCCCATGCCAACCCAGCTCTGCCCTGGAGGTAGCTGCGCAAACCCACGCTCGCCCACTCCATCTCCCACAGGCCATGAGCAAGGTGATGCTCAGGACACTGCCAGCGGCACAGCTCTCCCGGAGGGTGTGCGCTGCCGTCCCCATGCAGGGGTCTCACCTCCCCGCCGTCCCCTTCCCGCACCCCAGCAAAACCCAACGCGCCCCCCATGGCGTTAATACCCTGCATGTGGGCCCTTCACCCTCTTTCCCATCAGCAGCCCTCCTGGAGCTGCCCGAGCACAAGCCCTGAAGCCTTATCAGAATCAGATCATTGCTTCTATTATTACATTTTTTTTCTATTAAGCTCCATCTGCACAGTATTATTTTAAGACAGAGCCATCCTGCACATTTTCAACCCCCCGCTGGCCTGTTAGGACTCATCATGGACACCTCCTCCTACAGAGTCCTCCAAAAGAAAACATGTAGAAATTAGGTACAACAACAGTACATAAAACAATGCTAATAACTCACAGGTCAGAGTTAATTCAATAAGAATAACATGCTTATTTATTTTATGGGCCTCTGTGGTTTCTTTAACTCTCAGTACCCAGCTTATTAAGTGCTTGGATTTTGGAAGTGATGAGCTACACAAATATGCTGTGGTCACTTGGCAACCTCATCTTTTCTTTCTCTAAACCCCCCGCAAATGAAGGGATTTTGCCCTTGTGATATTAAACACAGGCACAAGCACGTGCAGGCACCGAGGCCAGCTGGGTGCCCCTCTGTGCTTCAACCAGCACTGGGGACACGGGGCACTGGCTGGAGAGGCTGCGATCCCTCTTCACCCCCAGCCCTAGGGAGGGGGATGCAGAAGACCTTTACAAAGGATTTTGCAGGATGGGTTGAGCACAGCACTCAGCTCAGATCTGGGCAGGCTCTGGGTCTGCCTCTGCAGGGCTTGCCCTGGCTTCAGGACGCTGTTGCGTTCTCTGGGACACAGCACCCTCGAAAAATTTGTGATACCAGAACTGCAGAACCAACGGGATACTGGGGAGAGCAAGCCCACCCACACTGGCAGCAGCAGCAGCAGCACCCAACACCCTGCCAGGGGAACACTCACCCGTCCGCATCCTGGTAGTTCACGTTCAGGCGCTTGGCAGATCCCAGGAGCTCTGCAGAGAGAGGAGGCGAAGGTCAGGGCAGGAGGCAGAGCCCGCACCACCCCGCACAGCCCTGGGACCCTGCGCGGACCCCGTCCTGCAGCCACACCGACCTCCCAGTGCGCAGAACAGCGCCTGGCCCATCCCGGTGGCCTCTCCTCTCCTCTCCTCTCCCTCTACGTTCACCTCCACGAACCCTCAATCAGCTGACCCAGCTTGAGCGCAGACCCCTTCCTCCCTCCGTCCCTCCTGCCCCATCTCTGTGCACCCCCGGGATGGGTCAGACCCAGCAGCTCCTGTCACCCCAGCTTCTTGGGACAGCACTTCCCTCCCCTTTATAGGCAGCAACACCCCAGAACTGCTGAGCGGGGCTGTTTTGCCCCCCACTCGCTCCCTCTGCTCACCACTGCCGCCGAGGCCTGGCCCACAGACCACATGGTTGGCATTTTTATGGCAGGGCAGAGGCTGAAGCCTCCAGCCATGAATGTGAGGATTGTGCCACCTCGGATATCCCCATTCCCCCGCCCATCCCTCCCTCCCCTTCAGGGACCACTGAGCAGCAGAGGATGCTCACCCCACCCTCGGCACAGCCTCACGCGCACCCCCGGCTGCTCGCTCCTTCCAGCAATTAATTCGAATGAATTCCTTCCTCCCACACAGAGAGGACGTTTTATTCTTCACCAAGGGGTTGAGAGCGGATTAACATCTCTGGAATTCATCCGCCAAGTCAAAAGGGAAAGAAAGGGGAAGGTATGCAGGGGGCAAGAAATGCCACCGCCTCTCCTCTGCCTTTCCAGGCAGCCCCATCGCCGAGCCGGCGAGGATTAAGTGCTTTGAAAGGTTGCTGTACTGTTTCCTATGGAAAAATCAAAGTCCGAGAGCTGGGCTCCAAGCCCAGGGTGAAACAGCTACTCAAACCCCACCAAAATGTGGTGGGGTCCTAGGGAAGGAGCCCCCTCTCTTGCAGCTGGGCAGATCTCCAGGGCTGCAGCTCCCTCTCCATCCCCTGCTCATTTCCTCCTCTCCCAGGATCTGTGCCCACCTTGCATGGCAGGTCCCACACAAAGCCCTCCTCCACTGCATGGCCCCTCTGCCGGCAAGAAGAGCTGAAGAGGGGGCTGGCTCATTCATCATGCAAATGGATAATTAAAGGAAACCAAGGAATGGTGGGTTCATTACTGCAATTTACAGTGTTTTGTAAACAGCCTAATTAATGCAAAATGGGCTTGTAGTGGCTGCTGGTGAAGGACTCGTGACTCGTTGCCACAGCTGAGGGGATCAGGATGGGATCACCCTAATTACCTCTTCCAGGGGCTGTTTGTCTTCAGAGCAGCAGCAAGCAGCTCCACCATCCCAAAAGTCCTTCCTGAAGGAAACGGCTCCCAAAACCATCACTCATCAGAGCTCCCACTTCTCCCTCCCAGCCCCGTATTGCCCAAGACCCCAGGATCTGAGGTCTCCATCAAGGACAAGCTCTTGCCTCAGTCCCACCGCCAGGAAAAAATAACATTTCACTTGTAAACTGGCCACTTCTGGTCCATCGCCTCCTGCTCCCCGAGCAACCCCCCAGCCCTGCTGCCTTTTGATCAGGGTTTATAAACAGGTGTTTTTAAAGGATGCTCTGTGCAGTGGGAAGCAAAGGCCAGTGTGGATTTGCTCCCATCAGTTGCAGCTGAAAATTGCCACTGGGTTTTGCTGCTGAGAAAGGCCAGGAAGGAGGAGGAAGAGTCCTTACCCAGGGCAGGAGGGACAGAGCCTGAACTGTGTGAGCTGGGCAGCAGAGCGGGGCCAGGCGATGCCCACTGAGCACAAGCACATCCAAAAGAGGCAGAAACATCCCACAGCCCCAAGGGCTGGTCCTGGAGTTGAGCAATGCCCGCTATTTGAGGAGGGAGAGTTCACCCCAGAATTCCACCCGACCCCCTTCTACAAGGGGACTGGGCTGGCCAGTGGGGTCCAGTAAGCAGGGCTGGGATGTGGTGGGTGTCCCAGGACACGGTGGGTGTCCCTGCCCGCTCCCTGGCCCCAGGAGGCAGCTGTCAGCATCTGCATGGCAAAATGCCTGTGTCTTTGCTCCTCTCCCCAAGCAACATTCCTCAAATTAGTTCCCTGCTCCAGCAGCCCAGCAAGGTCAAGATGTCAGGCAGGACCATGCAGACATGGCGTGGGTGGCTTGGAAAGCAGCAGGTCCCAAAAAGTTGAGTTGGGAGCAGCACTTTGTATCCACCTTCAGACAGGAAGGGAAAGAGATTGTCCCTGGATTGTGGCTGGGTAAATTCCTGCTTAGAGCTCCGGAGGGTTTACAGCCAGGCTGAAAGGTAAAGCATGGGTAGGAAAGGGGCCAGGCACCCTGGCACCATGGGCACAGAGGCACAAACAAAGGGAAGAAGAGCCGAGGGATGGAGGGGAAAACAGAACACAGCCAGGCAGGTGGGACCCCTTTGCCAGCTCTGTCCTGCTGCAAACCTCTGCACCACATGGCACGGGGGGCCAGCAAAGCAACCCCAAAGGCAGCCCGGCCTCAGCGGGGAGCCGGCGTCAGGACAGGGTGAAGCAGTGGGGCAGCACGAGGGCTGCCAAGAGGACGCCACCAGCCCCCGTCATGCTCCTGGGGGCATGGTGATAAGAAGGCAGGTGATAGGGTGCTTCTCTGCGTCCCTCTTCCTCATTCCATCCCTGTGCTCCTTTTGACTGATTTCCCCAATTTTCTCCCCATTTCTTCAGCTCCTTCACTCCCTGGCAGTGCCCTCCAGGCTCCCCAGCCTTTCTCACCCAGATGTTCTGGGGTTCAGCAGAGGCTGGGCAGAGCTGTTCCTAATCCCACAGCCCACTCAGACCAGCTGGTTCAGAGGTGCAGCTCCAGCCAGGACACCGCAGGGCTGTGGGACTGGGGTTGATCCATCCACGGCACTGGGATGGGGTGGCCAGACCCTTCCCATCCGCATCATCACCTCCTTTGGGTTTGCACCAGGGCAGGAGCACCCTTGGGCTTGACCTGCTCCCCGCTGGGAGCACACTCACATCCTGGGAAGATGAACTCAGAAAAATATGGATGCAGCACTGAAATGCAGAAAGCCCTGAAGGGGATATTTCCAGTGGAAAACCCGGCTTGGCGCACCCCAAGGGTTAACTCTGGCTGTGGGTTCCCCCTGCTTGGCTCCAAGGGGTCCCGCCGGGCCCCCACCCTGCTCTGCGCCCCTTCTCCAGCACGTTCGCCGGCGCCTGCCCGGGCAGGATGAGGCTCGGCAGCACAGGGCCGGGGCTGAGCGAGGCCTCGAGGGAGCCAGCGAGCTTCTGTGCGGCGTCTGGCTGCCAAGCGGCAGGCGGGAAGCACCTCCGGAGCGCTCCGGCAAATTGCTTACAAATGTAGGGCCCGCGCTGTGCCGGACGCGGCTGCGGCAAAGGCAGCGCAGCCGCCTGCCCGCCAGACGGGGCCGAGACCCTCATCCACAGCACGCTCTGGCTCCAGCCCTGGCCGGGGGAAAGTGCCAGCCCTCGGCCTTTCCGATCCTGGGGAGGGGGCCAGGATGGTGCAGCCCCCCATGGCAGGTTTCCAACCAGCTCCTCCGACCAAGCAGCTGCACCCTGTGCCTCAGTTTCCCTGTGGGGCCGGGCTGCACCCCCACGGCGGGGATGCCAGGCCGGGCTGAGCTCCCCGTGGGGTGTAGGGGGTACCTGGGGGAGCAGCTAGCCAGGGCAGGCACCTCACCCGCACCGCTGGCAACCGGCCCAGCACAAACTCATATTTAGTCCCCTGGGGTGCTCGCCTGGCGCTGGCTGTGTGGAGCCAGGTGTGCCCTCGCCTGGCCTGCCTGGCACCCCCGATGCCAGCACGCCGGGAACCCAGGTCACCCCACTGCCCTTCACCGGAGGCCTTGTTCCCACAGGGACACCCCTGGGCTTCACCCTGTGGTCTCAGACTGACATGATCCCTCTGAAAGCGTGAAGAGACACATGCTTGCCTGGGTTTGGCTCAAGTATCCCATGTCCCCCCTCACATGTCTCTTGGAGACTCCTGCCCTGGCTCTCACAGGGAAAGTCAGGCTCCAGAAAGCTGTTTTTACTGTAACCCCCCAAATTTGGTCCCCCCAGCGTGGCCACAGCAGAGCTCCTCCATTGCAAGCCCCTGCCTCTGTGCAGGACAGACAGACCTTTACCTGGAGAACCACCTTGCCAGAGATACCTTAAAAAACCACACCTTTCCGCTGGACCTGTGCCACAGACCCTCGTCCCTTCCCCTTGCCCTGGGGAATCGCATCCCTGCACTACAGGTCTGGGCATCCCTGTATCATGAGCACCCCTGTACTGCCAACCAGGAGCATCCCTCGACATCCAGCCTGAGCGTCCCTGCACCATCAGCATCCCTGCACTGCTGGCCGTGGGTACCCTGCACGCAGGGATGCTTTGTCTGGGCACTGTAAGAACATCATCCTGCTGCCCTGGGCAGTGGGAGGAGGATGGCATGCTCTGGGCACACCAAATACATGCACATACCCTCTTGGGAAAATAAACTCCACCTGGGGACTGTTGCCACTAAGCCAATAAACCAGCTGGAGGAGCTCATCAGCTGTGATCCTGCAGAGCACCAGCCATCTCTGATGGTGGTGGCAGCTTCACCCAATGAGCCCTGCCTGCCTTGACCTGTGCTGACGGCCTGAGGTGGCCTCAGTGTACAGGGGGTTCCTGCCAGGGTTCAGGAGACACTTGATGTCTTGCCCAAAATTGCAACCCAAAGAGGTGACATCCAACCCTCCTCTGCAGGAATCACCCTACCCTGCCTCTCCTCCATCCACAGGCACGTCCGCTGCGGCCACCCGCACCCGGCTCCTCCCGGCAAACCGGCTGCTTCAGCTGCAGTTTCCCAATAAGTTCAGAGGAGATTTGCCCACTTCGATAGGGAAGGAGCTTGGCCACAGAGACATTAAGGAAACTCAACCAAAGTTGCCCAGCAAGCTTGGAACGGAGGTTGAGTGAGAGCCAAGGGCTCCTGACCCCAGCTGCCTGCCACAGCC